AGGGTTCATTAAGCTAAATTTTCAACACCTAACCTGAAGGTCAGAGGTTTGAGCAGGAGATGGTTAGCTTTCTCTTAGGCAGACCAAGGGTTCACATGTGGTCCTGGGGTCTATCTGGGAGTGTGCTGGTTTGGCCTACAACCCCCATGCCCCAAGAACCTCGGTGTTACGTTGTGGCCCATTTGCAGGAGAGGGGGCTGATTTCCTCTTGTGGAATCAGTGCATGGAAGGGTGCTTTGTGGGTGACCAGAGAGCTGTAGCTGCCCAACTGCTGCTGATTCTGCAGCATGGTTCATTAGAAAGGGTGCCCTGAGCCTGCGTCAGTGCACTCTTGGCCCATCAGCCTTTGTTCTTGGTGTCTATCTTCTTGTCTAGCGCCTCTCTGTCCCTAGAGACTAATGATTCTTTTCCAGGCCAGTCTCAGTGACCTCCTAACAGATGAAGACAGAAGCAGGGCTCTGATAGATGTGAGTGTCAGGGTAGTTGTGGGCGTTGCTGCAGGCAATTTTAGTTCCTTTCCAAAAATACATCTTTAGCTAGCCAAGGGAATGCTGCATGTGTGATTTTTTTTTTTTTTTCTATCTTTAAAAGGAAAAAGAAAGACATCTGAACCTATGCCAGAGGGCCTTTTGTTGGGATACGGTTTTTGTCTCTATTGATCCTGAGAGGTTGGAAATCACTTTCATGGCTTGGGAACCAAGCCTGCTCTGGGGCTGTGCAGCTGGCCACGTAAGGGCCACATCAGAGATAGCTTTGGACACACTCTGGACTAGGAGTGCCATGGACACTCCGCTCTAGAGGACAGAGGGATTGGAATTTAAACCAAGTGTCTTGGGAAAAGCACATCAGCCTGGACTTCCTCACATGCTGATTCGTGGTCCTTCTCTGCCCTCCCATCTCCTCACTCCACTCATCACTACTGCGTCTGGTCTTCTAGCTAGCAAGCTGGTCCCCGAAAGTAAACTGTTCTCCACTGTGAACATGGAATAATTATTTTAGGGTAGAACATCATTTGAGATAGTCTCTTCTCTGGACCTTGATGCCACGTATCTTGTAAGCCATTGGTGTCTTCAGTGGAATTTCTGTTTCTTGGATGCTAAGAGAATCATTACTGTTTTGATAGATTGCCCTTTTCGGCGGGTGGGTATTTCCCATTTGTTCTCCGGGCCCTGTACAGCGTTGAGCTCCTTGAGAGACATGGCGATCTTAAAGGCTCTTTGTAAGGAAACAGACACCAGAATATGCTCAGCTGGTTTCCTGAAATTATGATGAAGGGCATGGCATGGCAGCTCATGCCTGTAATCCTAGAACTTTGGGATGCTAAAGTGGGAGGATTGTTTGAAGCTGGAATTTCGAGACCAGCCTGAGCAAGAGCGAGACCCTGTCTCTACTAAAAATAGAAAAATTAGCAGGGTATGGTGGTGCACACCTGTAGTCCCAGCTACTCGGGAGGCCGAGGCAGGAGGATCAGGAGTTTGAGGTTGCAGTGAGCTATGATGACACCACTGCACTCCAGACCAGGGAACAGACTGAGACCCTGTCTCAACAAAAGAGAGAGAGAGAGAGAGAGAGAAAGGAAGGGAAGGGAGAAAATAAATCACCTTGCCATAGCAGTGGCTCGGAAACTTCATTTCCAGACATGGCCTCAGTGCTTGTGAAGTGTTTAATGCCCTCTTAGAATGAGTAGCTACCGTGTTTTCTCAAAAATAAGACCTACCCATAAAATAAGCCCTAGCAGGATTTCTAAGCATTTGCGCAATATAAGCCCTACCCCCAAAATAAGACCTAGTGTTGGGCGTGGCTACGCAGTGCATCTGCACAACCCATGCATTTTGTCATGGAGCAGTAAGGAAGATGAGCAGCCCTTCTCATCTGCCCCATGAGAGCTCTGTTGCTCAACATGAGAGATTGGGGTCAGTGGTTCTAAAGGAAATACAGTTGCAAGAAATTCAGGATAGAATTCGGGGTTTGGAGAGTTATGATGATGTTACAGAAGAAGACGACTTAACTGTATTTGAATAAGTGTCGATTATTGTACTGTACTTTAAAAAAATAACACATCCTCTGAAAATAAGCCCTAGGGTTTCTTCTTGAGGAAAAATAAATATAAGACCCTGTCTTATTTTCGGGGAAACACAGTAGCTGTAAACATAGTAAAAATGTGAGACCAGTCAAGCAAAGTCTGCTAAGGCAAATGAACCAGGGGCAAAAGAGGAGAAAAGCCCAAGTTGGTGGTACGAGGAACCTTACAAATAAGTCAAGGAAGTCCCTTTGCGGGACCTTTTAAGTAGCCCTCTGTAAATCTTTCCAACCTGGGCGTGACCTCCTCCTAACAGGGTAAAGTCTTCTCCCACAGACGCCAGATGATGCACAGCTTGCTAGAGTAGTGATGAAGTCCCCGAGGAAGGTGGTTACCCATTCTATTATTTTAGGTTTGTAAGTTGAGATGGTACCCGAGTTGCCTATGGGAACATGAGCTCAAAGTAAAATAGGAGTGAACTAATTTCCAAGTGGGTTCATCGCTATATTATGACGAGTGCAGCTCAAGGCCATGGAAGCAGAGCCCAGGACCTGGCTCTGTCCTCAACAGGAAAATGTCTCTGGGCCAGACAGTGATTCTGAGCATTTCACAGCAGCCGTACTCTGATGAGTTCGTCCACATTTCCCAGTCTATGAGGCAGTGCGGGGAGTGTACAGACTTTCATTTCTAATGTGGACAGAGAGACAGCAAAACGGGGGCACCCTGGTTTCCCAAGGGGATTTTGTGAGCATCTGAGGGCAGTGAGTCAGGCAGTGTGAAAGTCACTTTAACAAATTTTGATGTGGATCTAGGAATTTAGATTTATGCTGCCGGCCTGCTAGTTACTTCGGGGGCTTTCGTATTCCTTAACATCTCCCCCAGACCCTGCAGTTCAGACCTGGTCTGTGGCTCGGTGCTTTCCTTAGTGCAAGAATGTCATGGGCAGCCGAGCCTTCAGTGGGTGTGTGGGAATGCATCTGAAATGACTTTAGCTGATCTTTCTTAAAAGGAAAGTGAGAACAAAAATATGCAGTAACTTTTGATAAAAGAAACAGAAGAGGGAGCAACATTAAGGGAGAATCTCTGTTCCTAAATGGCCGGAGTGTGTTTCTCTTCCAGTGGACCGATCATTTCAAATCAAAATGCTGTTTTTACTGGAATGTGGCTTTGTCATCACTGCAGGAAGTGGGGTGCAGAGGAGCTTCCTGCTGAGGACCTGGGACAACACTGCCTCTGAAGTGTCATCCATGTCCCACATCTCTCCAGGAATCAGACAGCTACAAATAAAGCCTTCTGGCAACCCTTGCACATCAGCTGAGAGCAGCTTGTCCTGTTAGGAAAAACATATCTTTCAGGATGATGCGTGGAACTCATGGAGGCAGTGACTATTCCAAAACAGAACCTTAGGTCAGGCCCAGAGCCGTTTTCCTATTTAGGATAGGCCCCGATCCTGGGAGCTGTTTCTTTTTGGTATGTGTGAAGCTGTAACTGGCCTCCCAGTGACCTGAGAACTGCCTGCCCTGACTTAGTGAAGAAACAACCTTGGAAATTACTTTAGATTTTCCCCCCTCTCAGCTGGAAAGCCCCTGGCTGCCTGTGGCTGCGCTGAAGCACGTGAAGCCGAGGGCTGGGGGTCTTGGCCAGCTGGCCTGACCTGGCGGGTTGGACTTGGACTTTCCAAACCAGCGTCTGCTGGTTGTTTTTAATCTTGCCCTGCTGCCATCTCCTCTCCTGAGCTCTTCCAGTAGGTGCTGTTGCCACTGCCTTCCTGATATCTTGGTTTATCATCTCTGCCTGGTTAATCTAACAGAGAGCCCCTTGCTCAGCGCAGAAAATCAGGGATGCTGGTTTCATTGATTTATTTATTTCCCATGGCATTGTGAGGTTAAGGGCTAGAAATGTTCAGCATATTTTGGCAGTTGGTGAGTTTTGGGTACTTGCCAAGTATCCTCTGCCACCTTCCCATTGGAAAAAGTGACCTCCATGGGGACGTAGCTCTCAGGGAATGTCCTGCCACTGCGTTCCCTGGTGAGTGAGTGACAGCTCTGCGAGGGCGTGGCCTCACTGGGCCTAGAGCAGCAGAGACGACTCTACTTCCTCCCACCCCGATCTTTACAAAAGCTCCCGTGAAACGTGTCCTCAAGCTTTCACAGCCCAAAGCATCCTTTCTCTAGGGGACTGATGTGTGAACGATCAGAAGAGCTCTGAGTGCTTCTGGTTTCTTTTTTGTTGGTGATAGCCAAAACTAAAATTAAATCAACATTTCCCCTCCCCAAAGCCCAGGCTTTGGGCTTGGACTGCCCAAAGTGGTGGTTTGATGACCCGTTAGTCTGCAGAGCTTATAAAATCTCCAGAGAAATAACACTGGGAAGAGGACAGAGTGTCTGTTTTTCCAGATGCCAGATTCTCTGCTCCAAGAAGCTTTCATGAAATGCCATGTCCTTCATCTTGAAAATTACAGTGGAGAAGAGAGCATGATGGAGACTCCCACAGGGGAAAGCAGAGCAGGGCTGTTTGTGGAAGTGCACCTTCTGTTTCTTCTCTTCATAAGTCTAGGCATAGCATGCAACCTGAATGATTGCTTTCCTCCTCAGATGGGAATCTTGGCTCTGCTGCTCACTAGCTGTGTGACCTTGGGCAGCTTACTTACTGTCTGTGAACTTCAGTTACTTTATCTGCAAATAGGTGGTACCTGCCTCACAGAATTTTGTATAAGCTGGCTAACTTTGCATTCCTCCAGAACACACCTGTCTTGAGTCCTTAGGTGGACCAAATTGCCCTTTTATGTACAGGCACACATCAGTGATAGTACTTGATACCTTATACCGAAATTGTTCCTATAGGAGCCAGCCTGTAGCTAGCTACAGCTCTTTAAGAGTAGAGAGAGTGTTTTAATCTGCCCGCCACACGCCCTCTGTTGTCCTTGCATTCCGTGTCCATCACTTGTCATCAGAACATTGCACCTTTGCTTGTCCTGCAGGTTCAAGTGTGAATGGCCTGGAGGAGCCCAGCATCGCCAAGAGGCTGCGTGGCACTCCGGAGAGGATCGAGCTGGAGAACTACCGCCTGTCGGTGAAGCAGGCCGAGGAGCTGGAGGAGGTGCCTGAGGAGACGCAGGCAGAGCACAACCTGAGCAGCGTGCTGGACAAGGGCACAGAGGAGGACATCGCCAGCAGGTCAGCCGGGGCCCAAGGCCCCAGGGCGCTGACCTTGTGAGATACTGCCTCAGTTTGGGAAGGCGGCACAGCGCCGGGTCAGCCACGTGGAGTCTGAGCCAGACTGTGGACTGAGCCAGATTCCAAGCCTGGATTCGAGTCTTGGTCTGGCCACTTAGCTGCTGTGCGACCCTAGGCAAGTTAAGTGACCCGTGCCTGTGAAGCGGGGTAACACTAGTAGCTTCCTCACAGAACTGGGGGGAGGTTAATGAGCTGGTGTGTCTGACCGCAGTGTCGAGAACAGTGCTTAGCTTGCTTCTCATGCTGCTGGGCCACGTGAACAGGGCTTCCTTATCCATCACCACATTTGGTTATCCTCACAGGAGTCCTGTAAAGTGGCCGAGGGCACATGTTTGTCACCTTGTAGGTGAGTAAGGCCAGGACCAAAGCACCTGGGACTGGAGCTGAGATTCCCACTGAGGCTCTGGGGCTGAGCCCGAGACGCCTCCCATCTCCCCTGCTGCCCGTGGCCCGCCCTCCGCCACCCCTTTGATGTCTTGGGTCCCCCTCTCATCAGCCAGTGAGGATCGCGTGCTCTCAGCTACCTCAGAGATGCAATGAGCGTTCACTGAGCACCTGCCATGTTAGCCACTGGGAAGAAAACAGGAAAAATAAGGCACAGCTTCTGCCCTCGAGTTGGGGTTCACAGATTCAGTGGGGACAAAACAGCCACTGCGGGAGGAGAGCAACCCCAAGCAGCGCACCATGCGGGCAGGCAGCTCTGGAAGGGGCATGGCTGGGGGTCAGGGCTGACTCAGCCACCAGCTCGCTGTGAGGTCTCGGGCCAGCCAGAGGGCCTCTCCAGGTAAAGAGAGGGGCAGAAAACTGTCCCAGGGGCCACACACAGCAGCAAATGTGTTCATGCTTAGCCATCCCAGTGTTTTCATTGTGTCACCCCAGAGGGTGATGCCTCTGGGGACATGTACACTACCCCTTCCCCAGGACTCCCTGTATCTGTTGTTTTACACCCGGGGGCTTCCAGTATCAGTGCAGAAGGGCTCAGAGTGCTCAACAGAAGACTGTGGAGGGTGCCGCGGAGGGGCTAGGTCACCATAGGGCAGGCCGTCCTGCAGGGCTTCAGGGTGGGTGCCCTTGCAGCTGCCTGGACGGCAGAGGCTTCAGGTTGGCATTCGAGAGCATCTGAATCACATCTGAATCACATACTGGGTACTTTCATGCAGCTATGATGAAGGAAATATGTGGAGGTAAAGGAAGCAGCACATCGTTTTTGAGGTTCAAGAGTGCTTTTCAGAGGGTGTTTGCCAGGCAGAGCGACTTTCAGGCGCACCTAGCACCTCAGTCCTGGAGTCAGACGCTGGCTGGACCGCGCCTCTGTGCATCCCAGGGGCAGCCTCCCCAGGGCCTGCATCTCCACCCGGAGCACCGTGGAGACGCACCCCTGCCTGCTGTGCCCAGATGTGGGGAGCCACGCTCTGCACTGGCCCCGAAGTGGGCATAGGCAGGCCTGTGTGCCAAAGCACATTTATAAACCCATTATGAGAGCAGAGCTGATGGCTTGACATCGGGCTGAGTGTGTGTCAGCACCTCTTTCCCACAGTAATAGCGTTTCCTGATTTATAAACTCTGAAAGGCAGTGGGACAGCAAGTTCATATAATGTAGCAAGGGCATTCCAAGAAGACCAAATCATGGCATTTATAGTAGGTTGTGACAGGAAGGGCTCCACAGAAACATGGAATCAGCGTCTACACAGTACAATAAATGCCCCCAGTGTACTTAAATTCAAGGGGGAACAAAAGCCAAAACTAGCACTAGATGCTACATAGAGTGAAACCATCTCTAAAAGTGAAGCCCAGAGGAAGGAGCTGCAGATTTTGTCCTATTTCCCTAGGAGGCCACAGTGTGCAGGAAGTGTGTTGTGTCCTTTCCACCTTCCCTACAGCCCCAAACACGGAGTTAGGTGCATTCCAGCCCTCAGTCCTTCTGTGCAGAGATGTTAGACTTGAAGATGAGAAATGACATAGTTTTAAAGAATTAACCTGTCCAGCCCAGGAACTCACTTTCCACGAGTTTAGAGAACTCTTAACTTAGTATCTGCCGCCAGAGGCAGTGTTGTAAGGTTTCAGAACAGGACTTTGGAGTCAGCAGATCTGGGTTCGAAGCCCAGCTCTACCACCTGCCATTTATAGGCAAGTGACTTAACTCTCTGTGCCTCGGTTTCCTCATCCACAAAGGGCTCTCCTCCTCATGGGTTTGTTGTGAGGATTACATCAAATAAAGCAAGGGACACAATGCCTGGCACATAGTGAGCACCAGTCACTGCCAGTTACCTTGCAGCTCTCAGCAAGCACAGGCCTCCCTCAGTAGGAGAGGCGGGGCCAGGGAGTCTTGTACTGGTCTCCCCAACAGATGGGTTAAGTACCAGAAGTTGGGTTTGGCTCAGCCTTACCCTGTCTGAGGGCATTGGTAACTGGGTTTGCCATGCATCAGAGTCACCCTGAGGTCTTATGCAGACACAGCTTGTTGGGCTGAGTTTCTTATTCAGTCCGTCTGGGGTAAAACCCCAGAGTTCTCATTTCTGAAAAGTCCCCATGGGATGCTGTGGTCCAAAGACCACCCTTTGATAAATGCTGCTCTAAGTTTCTGCATTCCCTGATGATAACCACTGCCTGGCACCTGGGACACTTGGCTAAACAGTAACTCCTGGGCCCTCCTCAGGGTGTCTAATCCAGTGGGTTTAGGGTGGAAACAGGAATGTCTGTTTTGAATAGGCACTCCAGGAGATTCTCATGATCGAACCCATGGTTTAGTTCACACAAGCACCTATAAATCTTAAACCTTATCTCAAGACTGATCAGCTCTGGGACTCCTCCTTGCTGGCAAGGTGGGGCCTGTCTTCGGGAGGAGACCCTGGAAATAGCACTTCTGTTTCCTGTGGAAAGACCAGGTGGCCAAAGACAAGGGAGACTGGCTTTATGATTGCAGTATTGTTTTTCCTGATGCTTAGCCAGGAGAATTGCCCCAGGCAATGAAGGTGGCTTGTGCAGTGCCCAGCTGCTGGAGTTCTCTAGTGTTAACAGATTCGTGGCTCTAAAGAACGAGTCAGGAAGGCTGGAGCAAACAGGTATGTTTTCCGGGTGGGGCAGCCAAGGTCATTGAGGACTCCCCAAAAGTCGATGGCACCCAGGCCCTGCCCTTACTCAGAATAACGCCGAGAGGAAAGGCTGCTCCTTCAAGGCTGACCGTGAGTGAATGGGGCTTCCTGCCCAGCCCTCTCCCTCCTGCCTCACCACTTTTCTAACAGGCAGTAACATGAGCTGTTGCTGAGCAAGATGCTAGTTTTAGCACCAAATAAATTTTTGCCATGTGAAGGTTACTGACTGGTGTGCATCTTCTCCAGCGCTCTGCGTAGCAGTAGAGTGTTTGTGCAGTTGTCAGACAGATGGGACATGGCAAAGAGAAGAGGATTTCACGGTCTCTCTGATCGTGAGTGGGTTAATTTAAAAGTGAAAGCCATAGCTGCCCATTTCCCTTGGAAAGCCACCCAGGAAGTTCAAGTGGCAATTCCACGCGGCAGCCTGCCTCATTCATAGGAGGGCCTGCCTGAGTTTCTGGTCTCCACTACCTAAGGTTGGATCCAGGCAGCTGGTAGCTTCATTGCGGCCTTCTTCCTGGACTTGCCACCCTGACAGCTGCTAGTGGCCACAGAACTCTTGGGTTCTTGGTGAAACACCCAAGAGAGCACAGCAAGACAGTGTGGACTTCTTCTCACGCAAATGATCCAGCCTCCTTAGGCATCAGTTTCCTCTTTTGTAAAAATGAGGAAAACGATAGCAGCTGTACCCTAGAGTAGTTGTGAGTTTCAGGGAGCTAACCCATGGGAAGTTCTGCACCGCACGTGGTCGGGGCTCAGTGGCCGTTGATCATTGTCCTCAGATCTGCCCCCCTTGACACAGCAGAACCCCTGTATAGCTCGTGTAAGCTGAGCAGAGCTTGTCTTTTTAGAATCTAGTCTATGTGCCATTGGTCTGTTTCCTCCTACCAGGCCCTGTCAAAGCCTACAGCTGAGGGGAAATTCAAGGAAGGTGCTTTGAGATGAGTACTCGGGTCTCGCTGGAGGCAGGGAGGGTTTTGCTAGATATTCTCCTAAGTGGAAAGGACAGCTCTTTCTGATAGAGGCTTCACCAAAGAGGGTGTGGGGCTTCATCCCTAACGCCTCTGAAATTAGGGGAACCTGCCATGGTGCTCACTGTTTGTGGTCCCTTGTACATTCTCGCTGTCTTGGCTGTGCTGGACCCTATGAGAAGCACAACAGTGGCCCTGTCCTCAGAGAGGGTGCAGTCCAGGGTAGAGGCAGACCTGGATCAAAGTCACACAGGACAATAGATTGTTACTGGTGCCAAAACACATACCTACTGGGAGGAAAGGATGGTCTGATGACTAGAGTTTCTGGTCCCCATCTCTCCTAGGAGGCAGTGACTTGAGAAGTTACCCTTTCCTCCCAGAAGGAGGGAGAAGTTGGTCATCTATATTGCATTTCTTTCTGGTATAGTCATTCTCTGTGCTTAAAAAGTTTCCAGACTATAATCCAAGGGGGTGCAGGTGCTGGGAGCCTGAGGTACTACTGAGTTTACACCACGAACCTTACATGACATACAGGGCCTGGCCAGCCCCAGATACTGACCCAAGAAGCTGTGAAAATGATAGCCTGCAAAGGCACAGCTGGCAGCCTTGCTGGATCTCCCTCTGTCCTTCACAAAGAGAGGGGGGATGCTGGCTTGCCTGCTGGGAACTCTGGAAGCAAGTAGCAGGACCCCTGGGAGTTGCTGAATTGCAGCTTGCGAAGAGAGGCGAGGCCTGGCCTTCTGCTCTCTTCTCTGTGTTCCTGGCCTCACTGGCTGCACTCCCATGGACCTTGAGGTGTCATAAAACTAGCCAAGGTAGTGGTAACAGCTATAAGTAGGGTGTCGTGAAGGTTACTGGCCATGGCATTTATTCATTTCCCATGTTGTGCAAATGCAGCTGTCTTCATGACGTGGTGCAGGGCAGGATGGGGCTGTACCCAGGCCCCTCTTGCAGCAAGCCCACCGCAGCCTGTCCTGCTGCCGACTCTGGGTGGCCCTGCTCAGGCCCTGGATGCTCAGCCAGGAGGAAGGGAAAAGATGGTCTTCTCTTTCCCACTGAAGATTTAAGATGAGCATAGACATGTCCTTATCCTTCTTTCATGTTTGAACAGTGTTAAATGACATGCACTGGGTTACATCTTATTAATAAGAAAGTAATTTAATGAAAACACAAAGGTAAAGCAAAAACAATACCAATAAAAGAAATACTGAGAAAGACTCAAACTCCAGATGCCAAGCTTTTCATGGCTCAAATTCCAGCGTTCACCCACTTTTAACTGCACCTTCTCAGCCCTTTTGTCATGGTGTGTGTGCATCTCACCTCCCTTGAGAGGAAGGATCTTTTCCATGTCACCTTTGTATTCCCTGCAGTATCCAGCAACTGCATCGTAAGTAGAAGACACTCTGTAAATTTTAGTCGGGTGAATGAATGAGTGAAGCGAATTCACGGAACTGAGCTTGTGGTAAGAAGCCAGCTCTGTATCCACTGGCCGAGCTCTAATAGGTGCTCAGGGATGTTCCCCGAGTGAATGAACAGGTGTCTAAAAGAGTGAACAAAGCAACAAATGGCTAGAGTCCTAGAGCGTGACATAGGCATGACGAGAATAATAACCCCCGTCTTTACAACATGCCTGCGAGGCAGTTGTCAACATCATCTCCTTCCTGAAGAGGAAACTGAGGCTCTGAGAGCATAAATAATCAAGTCAGAGTCCCACCACCAGCAAGCAGCAGAGCTGGTGTGGCGCTATGAGTTAGCCGAGAAGGGGGAGTGCAGCCCAGGAACCTGCCCCACTTCTGACACCAGCTGCAAATGCCAGCGTCTCCTGGAACCACCCTCAGGTTTGATAATTTGTTAGGAGGACTCCCTGAAAGCTCTGTTGTACTTACATTATTTACAGTTTATTGTTGCAGAAGGATGTAGATTTAAATCAGCCAAGGAAAGAAGTGCATAGGGTGGAGTCTAGGAAAGTAGCAGACTTGGAGCTTCCATTGCCCCTGCCTGTGGGTACAGGACAGCATTACTTTCTTGGTATGACAACATATAAGGCGTACCACTAGCCCGAGACTCGGTGTTCAGAGTTTTTATTGTATAGGCAATGATTGATTGGTTGGTCGGTTCCCCATATGGTTGATCTCAGTCTCCAGATCAGCTGATATTGTGTGACCCAACCCCTCACCCTAAACCACATTTTAGACTATCTACCACGACCTGAGGTCCCCAGGCAAACAGCGGTAGCATGCCCAGACAGGGCATCCCAGGGACTTACAGTTTCCCTCCCTGGGCCAAGGACAAAGGCCAGGCTTTCTCTGGGCAACGTGAGATTCTCTGCCACATAGCACTGATCGTGGATGCCCTCGTCCTCATCACTGTATCCACTGGCTCGCCCTGTCACACGCAGTAGGCTGTGGGCAGGCCCACCCTCATTGCAGCAAGTCAGGGCTTAGACGCCGCCTCTCCACCTGGTGCTTCTGGGGCTTGGAGCTCCCTTGTGTTGGAGGTCAGGCCATTGCTTTATGGCAAAAGCCAGATTTCCTCCAGCCCAATACACACTTCTCACTGAGGGCATGGCCTCTTCTGAAAGTGACTCTCTGGGAATTATCAGACCATGAGCTGGGAAACTTCCCCACTTGTGCAATGATGATTGGGGTTTGGGGCCTGCACTGGCACCCCATGCCACTGTAAAGACCCAATTCTGTTCAGGTACTACCTCTCTGTGGGGCAGGGGAGTAGGATGTAAATGTTCTGGGAGGGTGTCCTAGAGAGCGGAGAGCCATGGTTTGGGCTGGTGTGAGTCACGGCAAGTGTGCTCCCACACGGTGTTGCGTCCTTTTCTAGCCGAGCCAGCCTGTGCAGCGGGGAGCAGTGTGGACAGTGCCGCAGGCAGGCGGGAGGGATGACCCCATGGGTTGGGCTCTTTGTCTCTGCCCTTTCCTCTTGTCCCTCCTGTAGCTTAGCAGTGGCCATTGCCTTTGCTGCCACCTCCCTGTGTGTTCCCAGCATCCAGCTCAGGGACTGGCCCTCCGTGGGGTCTGAAGAAGCACAGGAGGTTGAACCTGCCGCATCATCTCCACCCCTGCCGGCCACCCCTGCTAGCCAGTTCAGTCCGGGCCATGCATGTCCTCCTTCCCCGCACACCCTGGGTCTCACAGCAGGCATCTGGCACGCCATCTCAGCATGGGGGACCTGCAGCTTCAAGGCCACGTGTCCCTCCAGATCCCCACATGCGACCCCATCAACCAAATCCAAACTTCACAGAACAAATCCCTTTATTAAAAGGATTTGTTCTGGCTGGGCATGATGGCTCACACCTTTAATCCTAGCACTCTGGGAGGCCGAGGCAGGAGGATCGCTCAAGGTCAGGAGTTTGAAACCAGCCTGAGCAAGAGCGAGACCCCATCCTACTAAAAATAGAAAGAAATTAATTGGCCAACTAAAAGCATATAGAAAAAATTAGCTGGGCATGGTGGCACATGCCTGTAATCCCAGCTACTCGGGAGGCTGAGGCAGGAGGATCGCTTGAGCCCAGGAGTTTGAGGTTGCTGTGAGCTAGGCTGATGCCATGGCACTCTAGCCCAGGCAACAGAGTGAGACTCTGTCTCAAAAAAAAAAAAAAAAAAAAAAGGATTTGTTCTGTAAAATTTGGATTGGGTCAAAAGGCCACAGGTTCCCCTCCTGTCAGGACAAAAGAAGACTTTCTCTTCTTTCCCAATTCCCAGGGTCATAAGTTTATTTCAAACTTATGCCTCTACCCAAGGCCCTCTGTGAAACTTAGCCCAGTGATCTTGGCATCTGCTGGACAGAAGCGCCCCTGGGCGAGGCTGTCCCCCAGCCTGTGTGGGTCTGTGCAGTGGTTATACCTGGGTGAGTGTCTCCTGTCCCACCCTGATAGCCACCATCTCTCCTCTCCAGCCCTCCCTGGTCAGGGAGAGGTGCTGGCCCTCCCTGCCCAGCAGGTGCTTTGAGGCACGGTGCCTCTGATCCTGACTCATAGCCTCCCTTCTCGTTTTCATCGTTCCCTTACTCTGGCACATGGCTCTCTCCTCACAGCAGTTCTGAGTCTGACATGGAGGAGGAGGAGGAGGAGGAGGAGCAGGAGCCGCAGCTGCCCCCCTCTGACCTGGGCGGCGTCCCTTGGAAGGAGGCTGTGAGGATCCACGCTCTTCTGAAAGGGAAGAGCGAAGAGGAGCTCGAGGCCTCCAAAAGCTTTGGGCCTGGGAACGAAGAGGAGGAGGAGGAGTATGAAGAAGAGGAGGAAGAAGAATATGACGAGGAGGAAGAGTCCAGTGAAGGTCAGGAAAAAAAATCCCTTCTCCTAAGCCTGGCCCCATCCCCGCAGCGATCCATTCCATGTGTGCGTGTATGAGGTTTCTGAGACTGATGTCACACAGATGTGCCTCCCAGAGCCTGGGACGCTTCCTCCCGACCCAAGATACGGGAGTGCAGGAGAGGACACTGTGGTGTCTGGCCACCGATAGTGGGAATGGTGTACCCTGTGCACACTTTCATTAGAAATTGCATGTGGAAGGCAGAGGGCCAGTCTAAGAGCTCCATCTGAATTAGGTCACTCGTTCTTGTCTCCTCATTTTTTTCCTTTTTCCTTTTAGTTTCAGTTAAAGAAGTTTATTTTAAGAAAGGAAAAGAATTGAGCTTTCTAGAGGATTCCTTGGTTCCTAGTCTTGGATGTTGGCGGCTGATATGAGCTTAGGTGCCCACTGGACGGTTAGAGTCACACTTTAGGCCAGTGTCATAGTTCAGTATCCAGTCACTCTGGTTGTTTCTGAAATATTCTCTTGTCTTGTACTCAAAATTTTTAATTCTGTCCCCGTCTCTGGCTTGTGTGACCTTCAGTGATGAGAACGGACTTGTGGGGCCTCTTCTTCTTGACTGTGTAAAGAGAGGGTCATTCTTTCCCTGTCTGGTTGTGCAGAGTCTGGTGGGTGATGAGGAAGGAACCAGGACAGGCAGAGGCCTGACTCCCCTGCAGACAGGCATGAAGTGAACAGGAAGGACATGGCCTTTAATGTCTGAGCACCGAAGCCTCCCAGCTGGTGTCAAAGAAGCAGATTAAATCCTGGACAGGCCCCGGCCCCATGGAGCTGGCACCGACTGCTCCACTGTTCTAGTGCTTATCTCTGTTTTTCCTGGAACTTAGTGTGCTTGCTGCCCAGTCCCATCCCAGGGTCTGTTTTCTTGGGCAAGGCCCAAGCCCTTGCCTGACACAGCTCACATTCCTCGGCTGGGCCCCAAGAGTGTGTGGCTCTGGGACACGGGCCCCGATGAGGCAGGTTGGGCAAGAGGGAAATACACCCTGTGTCAGTGTGAATAGTTAAGGTCAGAGCATTTCCTCAGATCACTAAGGAGCTGCTCTTCTTGTTGTCCTGCAGGTGGAGGGAGGCTGGGGCAGGACCCACAAGGTGGCACGGGGCAGCCTGCCCCTTCCTGCCTAGTCTATGTATGGGAAATGGGTAAGATCTGTGTGAGCAGGAGGCAAGGCCGAGGCCTGTGCTGGAGCCGTGAGTTCCTCCTCCACACCTCGGCAGGCCCGGAGTAGCTCCCACATCCCCGCTAGTCAGAGGGGTGGCATGGTCACAGCTCATCCAGGGGAAAGGTATTTTGTTTGCACTATTCCAGACATCATTACTCCATCTGATGATTAATGCTTAGAGGCTTGTAGCCCGACACGGCTTAGGGTCAAAGCTTGTTCCCTTTTCAGGAGTGTTAGCCCAGCAGTTCACGCAAACTTCATTTTCTGGCCTTGGACCTAACGCCAAGACCAAACCTGTCGAAAATGGGCTTTAACTAGAGAAATATATACTGACAAATGCAGCCAGATTCTGAAAGTTCCCAGACAGGAGTCTGTGGTCCTTGCCCATAGTGTGTCTTTTGGGCAGTGGCCTTCAGTGCCACGTAGGCAGGGGCAGGACGCTGTTGCCTCCAGCTGAAGAAGACTCTTTCTATTCTCTTTCCTCCCTCCATTTCCCTTTATTCTCCATTACCCTGCGGGATGCTTGACGCTGTGGTGGGTGTATGGCTCCCCCTGCTGTAGAAGGGGAGTACTGTCCCCAGGACAGAGAACTCCTACAAGGCCAGTGGCTCCAGCATCTCTCAGGGGAAGAAGACACGGGTACATGTAAAGGTACCCACGCTGCCCCCTTGCCCGCCTTCTGCCCCAGCTGCCTATTAGCCATCCATAATTTGCCTCCCAGAGCAGGTTTCACAGGACAAGCCTGCACTACCAGGCTTTGCACACGTCTCGCTGGGCCCCTAGCCCTGGGCCCACTGCACTGTGGAGTGGCCTGTAGAGTAGCATGGGAGTCAAGAGAGCTGCAGGAGGAAGTCGCCTTACTGGGCGTGGCCCCATCTATGTCCTTGTGTGTTTTGCTGCAAGTTCCCCTCTGCCACTTCAGACTCTGTATCTTCTCTGTGCCGAAAATCTCATGCCCCACCACAGGTGCCTTTAACGTTTCTCTGAGAAAGGAGGAAATGCTGGCTTTGTACTGTTGCTAAGCTCCCAAGGCTGGAAGTCTTATCAGGAAGAGAACATTCTCAGGTAGAAGGGAAAGAGGTCCTTTATTTTTCTCTTTGCCTTACCTTCTTCAGCCCAAAGATATCTAAACCTTTGCTGCGATTCAGCCCCATCCAGCACCATAAAGGCAAACAGACCTTAGAAAAGGTCCATGAATATATAGAGACCAGTAGCTTCTGTAAGGGAGTATGAGAGGCACTAAATACCCCACAGACAAGAGAGCATAGTGTGAGCATCCACATTTGGTGGTCTTATTGGCAATTTCTGCCCATATCACATTCTCTGTTGCTTATAGTTAAGAGGGTGTGGTTACAGTGACTAAAGCAAGGCCAGATTGTCCAGGGAGACTGCTGAGAGGAGGTGTGATGTACATTCCCAGATGGAAGCTGGCTCCTAGCAGGGCCTCAGTCCCTTTCAGGTCAGGTGGCACCTGTTCTTGCTGCCTGAACAGCATGTCCCCTCCCCACAGGTTGCTAACTGTCCCTTTATCTTAACCCATCTGTGTGGCATGATCCAAGCACTAACTAAAGGGGTCCACAGGACAGGGCTGCGTGTTCCTTTGGCTCTGACAGCAAGGATAATCTAAAGGGCCATGGGTGAGTTTTCTCTGAACTGAGAAGCCAGGTCTTGTGTCCAGAGGGTATCAGCAGGACACTCAATGGAGTTCTAAGGAAAAGGTCTTTGACCTCAGAAAAAGCAGAGAGGTATTGGTCTTGTTCCTACCCGTGAACTCCCAGAGCTTCGAGAATGTACAGGACAGAGTTCTGCTCGCCACCCCGGCCGTCATCTCCACAGCCCGTGGCCTTGCCACAGACCCAGCATGCAGCCCAAGGCCCTTTAGGGGAGGGGAGTTTTTCTCTGTCGAAGCAGCTCTAGATCCAGAAGATAAAAACTGAAGTATTAAGAAAGTACACTCTGTCCTGTGTGAGTTGCTGGCTCATGACAGAGCAACGTAGTCCCCTCCCACCTCTCCCTTGTTGCTTGGCTTAAATCTCAAAGGAGAAGCAGCCAGCTTGGCAGGTGGAGGTAAGCACCTTCCCATGTGACCAGCAGCAAGGGCATGAATGGTGTGTCTTTGGGGTCTCCCTGTGCTAGGTGACAGAGCTGAGTCCTCATGACCCCTGGAGGGCTGGTCCTGCAGAAGCCAGTTGTAATCTGCTCTCTTCTCCCAGCTTGGCGTGGGGGCCCCTCCAATGCACTTTAGGATGAAAAGAGCAACAGAAAAGTTCTCTCTGTATTTTGGGTTGGAGCGTGTGAATCTCTTCTTGGAAATTAATAGTATGTGCCAGGCTTGAAATGACTTAATCAAATTGAATGAGCAGAAGCAGTTCATGTATGTGTGCGTGTGTGTGCACACGCACATGCTCTCAGTGCTTACCTCTTGCTGATCATACTGATCCTGCCAATGCTGTGACTTTTCTTTCTGTTTCCTTTCCTGTGGTCTTTCATTCCCTCCTTCCCTTGACTGTTGATTTTCTCCCTCCTTCCTCCCCTTCATCTCCTCCACCCCTTGAACCTGGTACACTAGCCGGGAACCAGAGACTACAGCAGATCATAAACCCTGCGGATCCCTTGGAGATCCAGGCTGATGTGCACTGGACACATATTCGTGAGAAAGAGGAGGAGGAGAGAATGGTACCGACTTCTGAGTCCTCTACTTCTAGAGGTAACTGCTTGCAGATCCGAGGTCCCAGAGCAACTCTGAGGACCCCCAGCCCCTGCCTTTCCCCACCTGCCGTGCCCCTCCCCCCCATTGCTGCAGATGACCTTTCTGTTAGGGCCAGGGCCACAGCCATCAGTTTAATCAAAAGTAGGAGCCAGCAGAGCATTTCATTGTCCTGATGTTAATAGTAACAACTGCCCTTGCCTGTCATTTAAGGATATGTAAAGTTCTCTATGGATTAAGAGGTTGTGGGCTCTTTCTCCATTGATACAAAATAGTACAATGAGCCTGGCCTTGGGAAACCAAAATTTGCTTTCGATATCCCACATTTCCAGGCAGGGTTACTCTTTCCCCACTTTGTAAGTGTTCTGGTGCTTTCCTCATGGAGTGTGTCTGGGTGTGAATGTGCATTGGCAGGAAGCAAGGAGAGCACGTTCTGAGGTGAGATGAATTTTTAGGAGGAAATTTATATCTAGGTGGCCCCTACAGTAGCTAGCATAATTCCCAGCTCCAGTGGGTGCAGTGACCTGTGTTGCACGACAGGATGAAGATGTTGCCTTATTCCGGCTTCTTTTAATAAAGGAATAGCAGTAAGAGAAGAAATGGAGACTCAAGAGACGTGGTAGCTGCCATGCCGTCCTCCCCGGCGACCCTTGAGCTCACAGACTCTGCCTCCCTCTTACTCATCTTCATGTTCTGTCTCAGCACCAGTCATGCCGTGCCCCTGCAGGGTTCCGAGCACACTAAAGGGGAGGCTCCTGCTGCCATGAAACTTAGCCTTTAATGGGACATTCAATCCTCCCCAGCCCCAAATCTTCACCTACAGGCAAGAGCAGCCTCTGCCACTGGCTTTTGTGAACATCTAGCAGCTCTGCAGAGGTTGATGAAAGAGGCTCTGCTGACCAGAGATGTCTCACTGCTGCAGAATCGGAAGAGCCCTGCAGCTCTGCACTGACCCGGACCCCCCCTTGATTCTCTCTTCTCTCTTTGCCCTGGACAGCTGCCACACAGGCTAACTACCGGCTGTTACCCCTCACTAGTGCCCGATGGGCCTCTTATAATGTCATCTTGGTTTCTATGTTGGACTTTAGGGACAACCTCAGATCTCCTCGTCGGGGACACTTATTGCTGTGTAACTGTGTGTTTGTCTGTTTTAAATTCAGTGCCCGACCTTCCCTCCGTACGCCGCGCGGCAGTGCAGGCCTGGCTGGAGACGGTCTCCGGAGGTAGTCTGGTGATGTTTGCTCTCTCCCCTCGCTGTAACCTCTCTCTCTAGGCAGCTCTGCTGGTACCTTAACACTAGAACCCTGGGCCTGTCACTAGTGCATGCCAGGGCAGCCAGAAGTGGGTGGGGGCACGTGCATGCCTCACCCAGGCAGCCGTCCTTGCATGGGCCAGATGCGCACCCCATGTCCTCAGGGCAGCTCAGAGGGAAGCAGTGGTGTAGGCAGGACAGAGGCAGATGTTTGTCATTAATAGAAGTTGGGGGTCTGGGAGGCCGAGGCGGGCGGGTTGCTCGAGGTCAGGAGTTCCAAACCAGCCTGAACAAGAGCGAGACTCCCATCTCTACTATAAATAGAAAGAAATTAATTGGCCAACTAATATATATAGAAAAAATTAGCCGGGCATGGTGGCACATGCCTGTAGTCCCAGCTACTCTGGAGGCTGAGGCAGGAGGATCGCTTGAGCCCAGGAGTTTGAGGTTGCTGTGAGCTAGACTGATGCCACGACATTCACTCTAGCCTGGGCAACAAAGTGAGACTCTGTCTCAAAAAAAAAAAAAATAGAAGTTGGGGGAAAGGCCAAAGCTAAAGGGATGTTTTAGCACAGAGGCTTAAAGTCTGTTGAAATTAAATTGGGTAGCAAGTAAGTGTGAAAGTCGAGGAATCAGATGATATTCCACAAACCTACCAAAGTATCAGAGAAGGAAACAGTCACAACTCGGGATATTTATGGAGAAATGATCGGTGCAGAGGGAGAGTGGAGGGTTGGTAGATATTGTTCAGCTAAAGTGGAGGGACAGGCTCTCCAGACTGAGGTCCAGGCATCTCTTTAAGCACGGAGGCCAAAAGAGAGTTGAGAAAGCTGACCTGTCCTTCCTGAATTTTTCTGGAAATGTGTTTCTCAGTGAGGGGCTACTGTTGTTTGGGGCTGGACAGTTCTTTCCCTTGCAGGAGGTTTAACATCCTTGGCCTCTGCCCTTGGAATGTTGGTGTAGCCTCCACCTCACCCCATCATGACGACACCAAAGTCTCTCCACACGTCATCAAACGCTGCTCATGGAGGGGCACTGTCACCCCAGCTGAGCATACCATCAGGTGGCTGCTTCTGGGACGGGCAGATTGGAGCTGGTGGACCTTTACCAGCCTGTCCCTTTGTCCTCAGCAGCAGCAGGGAGAATAGACAGGCACTCGCAAGTCGGGGGGGGGCTCACGCAGCTGTGAGGGGAGAGAAGGCCTCCCCTGAGCCATTAGTTCTGTGGGTAGGCATCTCTAGAGTAGGGGACAGGGCTGCGCTTCAAGGACTAAAATGAACCAAGAACTAAGTATGTCAGCGAATCCTGGCTTCCATGGTGTGTGGCTCCTCAACTTGTGTGGCAGCTTCTAGCACCCCACGCTAGCTCCATCTTAACCTGGATTTAACCCCAGTTCCATCCTGAAGCTGCATCTCTTTCAACACCTGCTGTTGCTGTGTTGATGTTTCTCACCTATTTGTCTTTTGATGTACATGACAATTGTTCCTTTCAAGGTACTGCCAAGGAGTGTAGACTTCTTACCCTTTGACTCTACCACAGACGCTTCTTGGTGGAAAGTCTCAGTACGAGAACTACTCGAAGGATGGGGGCCTGGCACCGAATCAGGCTGCTTCAAGCATGCCTTGGACTCTGCCGGAGTGGGGGGCCTGTGGGGCTCTCCTGGGTCCTGGCTTCCAATTCCCTGACCAGTGAGGGTGTAGAGTCATCTCACTGCCCAGACACTCAGAGTTGTTCAGGCAGACGCAGCAGGCACAGGGCTTTCCACAGGAACAGCCAGGTTCTGTTCCCACCAGGGCTTTGATCCCACCAGCCTTCTCAGAAATGGTGTGGTGCGGTGATGAACTCACTACCCAAATAGAAAGCTCAGATTTGAGGAGGGGCCCAGAGGAGATTGGCGATTTTGGTAGCGCTTTTATTTGTGCCTCCTGGCATTTGATGCACTGTCTTCCTTGAGTGTCCAAAAGCAAAGCTATCACACAAAGGTTTTAACCCATGGAAATAATTGAGTAGTTTTTCCCCAGTATTTCCCCTAGCAAATGCCATCATCATAGAAAAGCACCTTGGCATTGCCTACTCCATGGGCTGTTTTGGTGTCTTAGGCGGAGGGAGATGGCATTAACTTTGCCAGCTTATCCTGGGGCTCCCCTGTTCCTCCCCCTAACCTGGGCCACCTGTCTATTCCATTCCAAATCTATTTCATACAGTGCTCCAAAAGCTAGATTTGAGCCATCATCTTATGAGCTGTCATAAAAGATGAGTGTATAGTTTAAGGAATTATTAAAGAAACAAGGCTGGGCGTGGTGGCTCACGCCTATAATCCTAGCACTCTGAGAGGCTAAGGCGGGAGGATTGCTCAAGGTCAGGAGTTCAAGACCAGCCTGAGCAAGAGCGAGACCCTGTCTCTACTAAAAATAGAAAGAAATTAATTGGCCAACTAAAAATATGTAGAAAAAATTAGCCGGGCATGGTGGCGCATGCCTGTAGTCCCAGCTACTCGGGAGGCTGAGGCAGAAGGATCGCTTGAGCCCAGGAGTTTGAGGTTGCTGTGAGCTAGGCTAATGCCTAGCTCACACTAGACGGCACTCCAGCCCGGGCAAGAAAGTAAGACTCTGTCTCAAAAAAAAAGAAACAAAAACTTTCTTAACAACCCAGGTCAAGAAATAGAACATCCCAAGCACCCTTCAAGTGCCTTTTCCTGGTCACAGGCCTTTGCTGCCCACCCTAGCCCAAAGTTAGTCCGTCCCTGCTGTCATCACACTCTGACCTCACTCTCACACACATCCTCAGGGTGCTGGGGGTGCAGATGCATCCGGCTGCCCTAGGAAAGAGTCTGTTACCTGAGCTGCCCCTCCCATTTGAGTGTGGCTTTTTAAGAGATCCACCTAATCCTCCTGGCCGTGCAGCTTGTTCCTCTGCCCCCGCCTACTTGTAGGTAGTGATACAAGTCAAAGCATAATGTGTTTCCTGAAATGAAAGCCTGTAGGAAAGATTTGAGGCTGGCTGTGCTTAGACCCCTAGAAGAGCCCGTAGGACCCCTGGCAAATGGGTCCTGTCAGTCTCAGGTGACACAGGAATCTCACAGCATCCCTAAGGCCATGCACGTTGCTTTCTCAACTGCTCTCTTGCTCCGAGCTGCGAGTGCGAGCTCCGAGTGTGCAGAGATCACGGGCCGGCGGGGACATGCGTTCACACAGCTGTGTGCTCCGGCCGGCTCCTTCTGCAGCACTGAAGGGCCCCTCTTGAGTCCAGAGAACGAACTTTACATACCCCTCAGGCCCTCCTCCGGCGCTTTAACAAACTATTTCTCTACATTACCCCAAGAGAAGCCGCACCTCTGCCAGCTGAAGGGTCGGGCCCTCGGGGTCTGTTGCCCACTCACTGGTGTCACCAGGGCCCCACTGTGCCTGCTGGACCGGGCCATGTGGCAGAAGCACGTCACCTAAACCATCTGGGCCTCGGTTTTTTCGCTGAAGGGAAGGAATTAGAAACGGTCCCTCTAATTGTATTACAGGTTGAGTACCCCTTATCCAAAACGCTCTGGATCCGAAGTGTTTCAGATTTCAGACTTTTTTGGATTTTGGAATGTTTGCATATATGTAATGAGTTATCTTGGGGATGAGACCCTAGTATAAGCGTGAAATTCATTTATGTTTTATCTGAGCCATATCTACGTAGCCTGAAGGTGATTTTATACAACATCTCTGATGATTTTGTGCATGAAACAGAATTTTGCCCGTGACTCATCACATGAGGTCAGCCGTGGAATTTGCCACCTGTGTTATCATGTCAGAGCTCAAAAAGCTTCAGATTTTAGAGCATTTCAAATTTCATATTTGGGATACTCACCCTGCGTTATGAGGACTAACTGGCTCACGGCAAGTGAGGTGGTCGGCACAGCGCCGGCACATGGGCACTGATGGTGAGAACAGCACCTCAGCCGCCTCTTGGTGCCTGCTGGGCTGGGCCGGGCCAGAGAAGTGGTGTTCCCCTCTGTCCTTCTCCAACTTAAGGCTCTTGCAGCAGCCTTTGGAGGAAGAGGGAAAGTGACCTGGCCTGCAGCTGCTCTTCCCCTTCCGCCAGCCCCACTCGTGTTGGGAAGGGCCAGTTCCCCGTGGTCAGGACAGGTCTGGGCCTCCCCAGTGCCCACACCATCTATGTTTCTCCCTACTCCTGGCCTGCAACGTTACAGCCCCGAGGAAAGCAATGCCTCTTTCCCACCTGCAGAGGCAGTCTGCCCATCTGTCTTTCTGTCCTTTTCTACCTTTCTTTGAACATTTCTGCTTTACAGTCCCATTGGATGAGAATGACCTGGAGGAAGATGTGGACTCGGAGCCAGCAGAGATAGAAGGGGAGGCAGCAGAGGATGGGGACCCAGGGGACACTGGTGCTGAGCTGGATGATGGTACGGCCTGACCTCCCCTCTCCCCATGGTGACACCTGTTCATCACTGGTAGCAGGACCAGAGTGATTGAAACTCAGGAAAGATGAAAACAACACACTTTGTTTAAAAACCAAAAGCAAGGTGCTCAGGGAAGGCAGCCATTGGGTCTCCTGGTTCATTCTTTGAACTGCCCACTGGTGACTTGAATGTGTCCCATTTCACTCTCCTGGAAGCCACCAGTTGGTGTGGCCTGCACTCATGGTGCTGCAGTTGGGATCCTGAGCAAATCTGGAGCCTTATGCGGGGCTGTTAATGCTGATGACGCTGAAAGCTAGGTGCCAGGAGGTGGTGTGCTCAGAATTGCCATGTGGTTGGTGGGGGAAGGAGGCAGGGACTGGGCTGGGGGGAATTGGGAAGGAAAGCCCAGGCAAGACCCAGGAACACAGACCCTGACTGCAGAGTTGGGCTGCAGGTCAGGACTGGGGGGAGGAGCAGGAGCACAGTGGGGCCGGAGGCCAGGCCTGCCCTCCACCGGTACACCCCAGCCAAGTCTTTCCCTCTCTGCCGGGGCCTGTCACATGTCATCATTGCTATGTTTAAAAGAAATGGAGCCCCACAGGCTCTGAGACACCACACTGCAAAGGACAGTGTGCTTGGGGCTGAGCGTGCTGTTGGGCCGCTCTCTGCGGAGATGGGAAAGCTGCGTGACCTCACTCAGGATGTGCACCCAGGTCTGTCCCTTCCCTCTGCCAGATCAGCACTGGTCTGACGACATCCCATCAGATGCTGACACGGAGCTCCACTTGCAGCGCCAGGCAGAGGTGGAGGCGGAACTGGAGCTGAGGGTGTCAGAAGATGAGGAGGAGAAACCACCTGCCTTGCCAAAGCGACAAGAGAGAGGTGAGTCTACTTGCAGCAGGCAAAGTAGCTTCCAGAATTCCTGGAGAGAACCTCGCGAGCAGAGTGGCACAGAGTACCCAGCCCTGCAGAGCGGAGCGTGCCATGCACGGGCCCCCAGGGGCAGGCAGCTCCGTGCCTTCTTGCGCCTGCCATGTGCCCTCGGCCCCTCTACTTGTGTTGTCTGGGGCCGTGGAAGGGTAGAAGGTACATCCCAAAGCTTGGGACACAGGCCATACATGTGAATAAGCACTCTGGCATAGTGCTGACAAGCGTGCCGCAGAGGAGGGTGCTGGATAGCACCCTGGGAGACGCGTTCCAGGATCCCTCGCCTCTGAGAGGACCCGTTCTTTCCAGAGATTAGCAAGGAGCAGGCTCGGGACTGTGCATGAGCTAGCTCAGCTTGGCCCTCTACCCTCCTTCCCTCCTCTGCAGACAGGCGCTGACAGCATGACACCCTTCCTGGGGCAGACAGAAAGGGGTTCCTCTTATGAGTCCCTGTGTCTATTCTTCTCAGATCCCTTCCAAGCATCCTGCCCCATCCAGCCCCCTCAGGAGCAAGCCCTGCTGCTCACCCCAGTGCACAGCCCTGTGGCAGAGGTAAGAGTTTGGGGCTCACAACAGGGATGGAGAACCAATGGGACCCTGGGGGCATGTAGTAACCTCTTAGGGCCTTTGGCATGAGGCCCACAAAGACCAGAGCGGAAGTAACCCACTGGCCTCCTTATGCTAAGGAAGAATAAAAAACATCTTCATTCCTTGTGCTAAGTGGAGCTGTTGGCACATGAGCGGCTTTAGGGGCCCAGTGCAGCTCTCATGGGGACAAGGCTTTCTGGGCAGCACCTCCCAACCCTGCCCCACATGGACCCCAGACCCAAGTTGTCCTTCCCTGTGACACCCTTCCAGGTCCACACACTGCTCGTGTTAAAAATAAGTTTAGGGCCGGGTGCTGTGGCTCACGCCTGTAATCCTAGCTCTTGGGAGGCCAAGGCGGGCGGATTGCTCAAGGTCAGGAGTTCAAAACCAGCCTGAGCAAGAGCGAGACCCCGTCTCTACTATAAATAGAAAGAAATTAATTGGCCAACTGATATATATATAAAAAATTAGCCGGGCATGGTGGCGCATGCCTGTAGTCCCAGCTACTCGGGAGGCTGAGGCAGAAGGATCACTCAAGCCCAGGAGTTTGAGGTTGCTGTGAGCTAGACGCCACGGCACTCACTCTAGCCTGGACAACAAAGCGAGACTCTGTCTCAAAAAAAAAAAAAAAAAAAAATAAGTTTAGGCTGGGCGCGGTGGCTCACGCCTGTAATCCTAGCTCTCTGGGAGGCCGAGACGGGTGGATTGCTCAAGGTCAGGAGTTCGAAACCACCCTGAGCAAGAGCGAGACCCCGTCTCTACTATAAATAGAAACAAATTAATTGGCCAACTAATATATATATAGATAAAATTAGCCGGGCATGGTGGCGCATGCCTGTAGTCCCAGCTACTCGGGAGGCTGAGGCAGGAGGATTGCTTGAGCCCAGGAGATTGAGGTTGCTGTGAGCTAGGCTGACACCACGGCACTCACTTTGCCTGGGCAACAAAGCGAGACTCTGTCTCAAAAAAAAAAAAAAAAATTTTAGTTTTGGGCCTGGTGTGATGGCTCATGCCTGTAATCATAGTACTTTAGTACTTTGGGAAGCTGAGGCAGCCGGATCACTTGAGCCCAGGAGTTTAAGGCTGCAGTGAGTTAGGCTGACGCCACGGCACTCTAGCCCAGCAACAGAGTGAGACCCTGTCTTAAAAAAGAAAAATAGTAGGCCAGGTGCAGTGGCTCACACCTGTAATCCTAGTACTCTGGGAGGCCAAGGCGGAGTATCGCTCAAGGTTAGGAGTTTGAGACCAGCCTGAGCAAGAGTGAGACCCCCGCCTCTACTAAAAATAGGAAGAAATTAGCTGGACAACTAAAAATATATAGAAAAGATTAGCCGGGCATTGTGGCGCATGCCTGTAGTCCCAGCTACTTGGAAGGCTGAGGCAGGAGGATCGCTTGAGCCTAGGAGTTTGAGGTTGCTGTGAGCTAGGCTGATGCCACGGCACTTACTCTAGCCTGGGCAACAGAGTGAGACTCTGTCTCAAAAAAAGTATACAGGTTGCCCTCGGTGTATAAAGCACACATTGAGCATGCTATCTCCTGTGGCATGTGGCTCGGCAGTACTCTCTGCAGGACGGATCAGGGAGAAGGCCAGAAAGCAAGAGCTGCGTCTTCTGGATTTGGTCTTTGAGACTCTAGGAAGCGAGTAACTATTGGGTGATTTTTGTCTATGAAATGGGGGCTTTGTTTACTGAGATGCTTGGATGGGGTGATACGTGGGTTAATGCAGGAATATCTGTGCACATCCTTGAGCTTCCTAGAAAGGACAATTTGATCATAATACAGACTGATAAGTAACTATCTTCAGTCTTATGGCACTGGCCCCTCTGCACATAAGTCAGGGATCTCGTCTCTGGGGGTTGCTGTGGGGCTGCGAGCTGCATTCACTTGTGTCCTTTTGACCGCTATGCATGTCAGTGGACAAAGAATATAGGATGTGCTTGAGATGAACCACACCTGAAAACCCAGTCTGTCTAAACTAAGTAGAGTAGCTCTAAAAATCAACAAATAGAGCAGAAAGTGAGAAAGGTTCTCCTGGAACCATTCGAATAATAGTGAAAAGGACACAGGCAGGAAGTTATTTCAACAGGCTTAGGCCCTTTGATCGAGAAAGCTCCCTAAGGGATTGTGCTGCCCATCAAAACCCTTACCCTCTAAGTGGCTTCTGTCTTCCTTTTCTGTAGGGGCCGCAAATCCCACTTGCCCCTGTTACTACCAAGGTGAAATCGCCAGAGGAGCACGTTTTCCCTGAGCCTTCGCTCCCTAAAGAGAAGCCCAGAGCCAAAGCCCCCGCTGATCTGAGCACTGTGCACTCTCCCATCCGGTCTCAGCCAGTGGCTCTGCCAGAAGCCAGGACCCCTGCCTCGCCAGGGAGTCCGCAGCCTCTGTCGCCACTGGCCACCTCTGGACCCCACTCCACGCTGCTCCCCATCTGCTCCCAGCCTCAGCCGTCCTCTGAGGCCACTGTCCCATCCCCTACCCTGTCCCCCATACGCTTCCAGCCCGTTCCAGCCAAAACCTCAACCCCCCTCACCCCGCTCCCCGTCAAGAGCCAAGTCGACACCAGGGATAAATTGGGCAGCCCTGTCCCTGTGGATGAGGCCCTCAAACGGAATGACCTGGTGGAAGAATTCTGGATGAAGAGTGCTGAAATCCGCCGCAGCCTTGGGCTCACGCCTGTGGATCGCAGCAAGGGGCCCGAGCCCAGCTTCCCCTCGCCTGCCTTTAAGCCAGCGTCCCTAAAAGCCTATTCATTTGAAAAATCCACGCAGGATGAGGGTCTCCATCTTCTAAAACCTCCACGTGTTCCTCAAAGGCTGGGCCTGCCAAAGTCAGAGGGCATCCAGCCCTCCCTGCCAACTCCCAAGTCACCATCTGACCGAGAACTAAGAAGCTCCCAGGAGGAGCGGAGGGACCTGTCCAGCAGCTCTGGCCTGGGCCTTCATGGGAGCTCCTCCAACATGAAGACCCTGGGCAGCCAGAGCTTCAACACCTCGGACTCTGCCATGCTCACTCCACCCTCCAGCCCGCCTCCGCCCCCGCCCCCCGGCGAGGAGCCTGCCACTCTGCGGAGGAGGCCCTGTGAGCACAAGGATGCCCAGACCAAGGCCTCGGTGGCCCCACCACCCCCACCTGCCGCGTTTATGCGGGCCCCCCTGGAGGCTGCCCAGCCCCACCGGGAGGAGGTGCGGAAGTCATTCGTGGAGAGTGTGGAGGAGATTCCCTTCGCCGATGATGTGGAAGACACGTATGATGACAAGACTGAGGACACTAGTGTGCAGGAGAAGTTCTTCACACCCCCTTCCTGCTGGCCACACTCTGAGAAGGCCCTCCGCTTGCCCCTGGCCAGGGAGAATGGGCAGCTGCCTGCCCTAGAGGGTACGCTCCAGCTGCAGAAGAGGGCACTGCCCTTGGTCTCTCCACAGGCCAAGGAGCTGGCGGAGGAGCGCATGCGAGCCAGGGAGAAGTCTGTGAAGAGCCAGGCACTGCGGGATGCCATGGCCAAGCAGCTGAGCAGGATGCAAGAGGTGCAGGTGGCAGCCGAGGCCCCCAGGTCTCGAAAGGTGGCCTCAGCACCCTCCCAGGGCAAGGACCATGGGGCCGAGTCCCCCAGACGCCCCGAGGAGCCCACCTTGAAGCACAGAGCCCCCAGTGAAGAGGCCCTCTCCCCTCCGACAGACTCGGGGGGCCCAGACGGTTCTGTCACTTCATCTGAGGGCTCCAGTGGGAAGAGCAAGAAGAGGTCATCACTCTTCTCCCCCCGTAGAAGCAAGAAAGAGAAGAAGCCCAAAGGTGAGGGCCGGCCCCTGGAGAAACCCAGCCCCAGCCTCCTAGAGGAAACAGCCTCCAAGCCCAAGTCCCTGTGGAAGTCAGTCTTCTCTGGGTACAAGAAGGACAAGAAGAAGAAGGCCGATGACAAGTCATGCCCTAGCACTCCTTCCAGTGGCGCCACGGTGGACTCCAGCAAGCACAGGGTGCCCCCCATCATGAGGGCAGGTGGGTTGCCGCCAAGGGCCGCAGCGGGCAGAGCAGGAGGCTACTGTCTCTGAGTTGTTCTCGAAAGAGCCCCTTCACGTGCTGCCCCCTAAGGTTCCTAGGAGCTGTGCTGATGGGGGGAAGGGAACCAAACCATAGGGTCACAGGGCATGTCCCTGCTTCTTGAAATAACTCTGAAAACCACCCTGGGACTGGATAAGGGAGACTTTGGAGGTTTGTGCCCTTCCTGAAGTCACACAACCCCGGGGAGCGTGGGGGGTGCCTACCAGGAGGGAGTCAGCAGGTGAGTGTGGGCTGCCTCCGTCCCGACAGGGCCAGCGTCCTAGCTCCTGCCTACGCCCTGGTATGGAAGAAGAATCACTTACACTAAAAAGAAATCAACTCTCCACCTCATCTGCCAGGCTGTGTGTGAAAATATAGAAATTGGGGAAGAGCCGTGCGCGTGGGCTGGCCACTGTCCTCACTGGGCCTGTCCTCTCCTCCCACAGAGCTGCAGCTCCGACGCCAGCTGAGTTTCTCGGAGGATTCAGACCTCTCCAGCGACGACGTCCTCGAGAGGGCCTCCCAGAAGTCCAAGAGAGAGGTGTGTGGTCCCAGGAAGAGACAGAAAGGGGGTCTTTTCGCGGGCTTTTTAAGTGAGCAGCTGGGTGGGGGTTGTGCTTCCTCCGTGGCAAGAGTTCTTGTGAAGAACACCAGAGGCATTCCGTGCTTCAAGCGTCTCTTCACCTTTAGGAAGCAGCCCGGTGTTGTCGTTTGTTCTTTGTTCTCTCAGAAATCCTGCCTAGCACGTGGCATCCGCCAGTCGCCAGCGTGGCGGCGGAAGGGCTGCCCATGCTCGGGGTGGGGATGGGGAGCTGGGGGCTGAGGCAGGCCCTGAGGGGTGCTCCTGGCCGTGCTGCTGCTCAGCGGCGTGGTACCGGGAGGACTTTCTGTTCTTAAAGACCTGGTCCAGGAACCCGGGCAGGTGTGTGCTGGGCTGACCTGACCGTCAGCTGCTCAGGGCTCAGGAGGAGATGTGGTCGCCCCGCGCCCTGAGGAGTAAGTCTCAGTGGAGCTTCCTCCTCACAAGCCTCCCTCAAGTGCCTGTTCAGTCTTCTGATTTCCAAAGGGCTCTTAGTCTAGGTCCAGTGCAGTTGGAGGAGGGACAGGAATTAGAGACAGTGCCAGGATGGGAACTAAAACCCAAGAGGCCTGAGCAGGTGCAGCCATCCCACCCCACCTCCACCCTCCAGTCCTGGGGCTCGGGCTCAGCGTCCTGGCCAAGGTGAAGGCCCGGCTCCTTTTGCCTCTGCTTTTGAATGAAGAGTGTTGCCAGAGCATCACGCACCTTCTTTACAGGCTTCTCAGGGCTTGGACTGGAGCCCGCCCCCCACTTTGACTTCCAGGAAGGCTTGAACTGTTGGCCAGCAGCCAGCCAGGGAGGGCTGCGGTGGGCCTGAGCCCCTGCACAGGCCTGCCTGGGGAAGGTGGCTCTAGCCTGTTCCAGTTTCCTCCTCCCTGCCTGATCAGTTCCTCTTTAAGTAACTCCACCTACTGGAGAAAGCAAGTCACTGTTTCTCATCTCCTTGATGCATTGGTTTCCCCTGGCCATGCCAGCTCTTTGTCCACTCTCCTAGGATGCCAAGAGCAGGCCAGTGCTGAGTGAAGGTTTGGGAGTCGGCATTCTCCCTCGGGCCGGGTGGAGTGCGCCCCTTGTGAGTTTCCGCAGGCAGTTGCATTGGGCCTGGACTAAGAATTGCTTCTGGATTTGCGTGCGCGTTCCCTAAACACATCCCAACAGTGGGGAGAGGTGCTGCTTTAGGGGGTCCTGAGAGTGTCAGGGAAGAATGGAGAATGTGGTCCAAGGTTCACTGTGCCTCAGTGGTCACCATGGGGACATTCAGCCAGTTGTGTCATGTTGGTCAAAAACTTCCACCTGTGGCTGCTGGTGCATGCAGGTGTCTCTACTTTTTCTCCATTAATGAAACACTTGTGGGGATGCTGCACAGCAGCCGCCAGAGCTGGCTGTGCCAAGGCTGTTGTCTCAGGTGGGCTCTCCCAGGGCCCTGCAGGTGTGAAGAGCAAGGAGCCCTCCTCCACCTGTCTCTGTGAACAGTCGCAGACCCCAGTGGTAGAAGCCTGGAGCCAGAGAGGCCTTGGAGACCCCATGCTTCAGGTGTGCACACAGTAGCAAAGCCGTTTGCTGGAGGTTACATAGGAAATATCAAAGCCCAAGCTGAGCCAAGGAGATGACTAACCTCAGAAACAGCTAACCTGACTCCACCATGGTGTGGGGCTGGCCTGAGCAAGAGCAGAGCACTGTGCATTTTCAAGACATGGACACTAAAGCAGGAAAACAAACCAAAACAAAAACAGCCAGAAAAGGGTGGGTGTGGTTGCTCACGCCTATAATCCTAGCACTTTGAGAAACAAAGGCAAGAGGATCATTTGAGGCCAGGGGTCTAAGACCAGCCTGGTCAACATAGACCCCTATCTCTGCAAAAACTTTAAAAATTAGCACGGGGGTGTGCTCCTGTAGTCCCAGCTACTTGGGAGGCTAAGGCAGGAGGATCACTTGAGCCCAGGAGTTCAAGGCTGCTAACCTGGATGACAAAATAAGACCTTATCTCTTTAAAAAAAAAAAAAAAAAAGCTATGAAGGACATTTTTTAGAATAATTAAGGAGATTTGATTATGGACTGTATATAAAGTATAAATAAATAACATTATTAGATCAATGTTAAATTCCTTACAAGTGATAAAGGTAATTATGTGGGAAAATGTCTTTTTTCTTATAAAGTACATGCTAAAATTTTGGGGGATGAAGGAATCTGATGTCCACAAATGACTCGGGGAAAAAAGGCTATGTGGACAGAAGACATACATATGCATGTATACGAAGCATGTGGTAAATGGTAACATTTGGCAAATATAGGTAAAAGGTATGTGGCTATTCACTGTCTCCCTCTTTCAACTTTTCTGTAGGTCTGAAATTTTTCAGGGTAAGAAGTGTGGGGAAAAAAAAGAAGAAATATGGGAATAGGGGCCCCTGCAGTGAGGATGGCATCGGACCTGGGACCTGCCGCGAGGGGGAGCCGCTGGCTGACAGGGTGCGGGGGGTGGCCTGCTGTGACAGCACGGATAGGGCACAGATAGAGGGGACGGCGCCTCTGCGCCACAAACCCCATCTGAGTCAGGCTCCTGTGAGACCAATGCCTGGGTTTGTTTTGTTAGGGGAAAAAATCCCACTCAAAATAACTTCTATTTTTATTTAAAATGTTCATTATAGAAAAGATAATGCAGGTATTAAAAAATCATCTATGGTCCTACCAATAAGAGAGAACTCTCATTTCCCTCTTTTCTTTGCTTCAACCTGACTTAAAATACAATTAACTCAGCTGATCCTTGAGCACTGTGACGCAGGCTCAGCTCTTGCTCTGGCCTTCTGCTCTTGGGCCCACTGAAGATGTGTCGTGATCTCACCCCTCTGGTCACCACCTATGCCAAGCTGGTGCCAGCCCCAGAAATGGGTACATGTGGAAAAGGCAGCCACTGCCTCCACTCCCTATAATTTTATCAGCCACAGGTAAAGATGTTAATGCTATTCCTTAGGTCGCAGTTAATGTATTCATAGTTCCTGTGTAGTTTTTCACATGCTGCTTAGAAAAACCATTAGTCTTTTTTTTGTTTTTTGAGACAGAGTCTCGCTTTGCTACCCAGGCTAGAGTGAGTGCCGTGGTGTCAGCCTAGCTCACAGCAACCTCAATCTCTGGGGCTCAAGCAATCCTCCTGCCTCAGCCTCCTGAGTAGCTGGGACTACAGGCGTGTGCTACCATGCCCGGCTAATTTTTTCTATATATATATTAGTTGGCCAATTAATTTCTTTCTATTTATAGTAGAGACGGGGTCTCGCTCTTGCTCAGGCTGGTTTTGAACTCCTGACCTCAAGCAATCCACCAACCTCGGCCTCCCAGAGTGCTAGGATTACAGGCGTGAGCCACCGCGCCTGGCCAACATTTCATTGTAGAAACAGGGTCTCATTGTGTTGTCCAGGCTGGTCTCTAACTCCTGGGCACAAGTAATCTTCCCATCTCAATCTCCCAAAGTACTAGGATTATAGGCATGAGCCACCATGCCTGGCCCTTTTTCTTTTTTCTAACTGGCTTGTTCTAATGATGACGTTCTTCCTCTCACTCTGATTTGTGAGAGAGATGGTCAGCCTGAGGCAGGACAGATGTGCTCAGCTTTGAAGGAGGCAGGCTTATTCTTCTCCAGTGCAATGTGCTTGTGAAATGTAGTCCCCACTAGTCGGCCCATTGCCCAGAGAAGCAGTGAGGGCGGCCAGCATTGCAGCCACCCTGGAGCTTTCAGGACCTCCCAGCTCTGTAGGCCTCCCAGAGCTCAAACCACTGCTTTCTCTCACTCTTTTATTGCCTTTCTGTCATTTAATATGAAGACCCGGAAAGCAAATGTAACTTGCCTTGGCTCTGGGAGCAGCTCTGCTCAAGGTTTAGTGGGGTGATAAGAGGTTCACGTTATTGTTTAAAAAGTACTTTTTGTGAATAGCAGTTCCTTTCCCTGGGTACAATCAAGAGGTAACACCTGTGGTCCCGGTCCGGAACACTGCAAGAGAGTCTCTCAGGAGACAATGTTCAATTCGATGCTAGTTTTGCTGTGTGTCTGGATCTGTCTGCCGCCCCCGGACAGCAGGAAGGTCTAAGCGTCGATAAGCAAATGGGTCACTTGAGAAGAAATAGCACGCATGGCCCACACATGAACGGTTCTGGCTTACACACGGGGAGATAGAGACAAGAGGAGGTCTGGGGTGGTGAGGAAGGAGCTACTGTGACTCAGTGAGTAGAAAAGTGAACCTGGCCTTTCTCACAGCCGGGTTCACCCAGACACTGCCACTAGGATCGTCCTCAGGCAGTCCTGTGTGACACTGTGGAAAATAATGGTGTGTTTCAAGTCTTGTGTGTTTGTTTTAAACTTCTAACTGATTACCATTCTGTGTTCTATTTTTAATTTTTTATTCATCATCATTACTATTATTCTGTTTTGTTTTCTGTTGCCATCCATTTAAAAGTCGATTTATGTACCACACGCCTTGGCATTCAGGAGATCATATGCATCAAAGGTAGTGTCTCATTCCCACTGGCTGTCATGTTGCATGCCTGTCTGTGATTAACCACCGAGCAGCCCTGCCCCGGTCCCAGCCACGTCCTCACTAACCGTGTTCATCCATGCTTGGGGCACAGCAGATGTTGGCAGCAGGACTTTCTTTAGCTCTGTCATGGGAGAGAAGGTGGATAAGTTACCTGCTCTTCGCCAGCTGGAGTGCATGTGGTCATTTTGCTCCAGGTGCCCGGGTGGGGGACAGAGCTGCCCCTGTGGGACCGGGCAGCCCAGAGAGGGGCGCTCCACCACACGTAGCTCTGTGAAGGGCCAGGGAGTTGCTCAGGGCACTAGAACACTGCTGAGGACCCGTAAGAACCGCCTATTTAGTGGCTCGAGCATGTGAGCTCTCAAAGTAAAGATCAGGAGTCTATACCCCTGGGTTGAATGTGTCTCTTTTAAAATCTATAAAAGTGTCCTCATTTAATTTTCTTAGAGGCAGTAAAAAGGGTCTTGTGAATAAAAGCAAACCCCCAACCATGGCCACTCTGTGGTTGCCCAGTGTTTATTCAGAATGTCTGACCGTCCGGTGAGCCCTTCTTGCCCAGGTTGGCAGGCGGACTCAGGCAGTCCCATCAGTGGACTTGCGCCAGGTTTGGGCCACTGCCTGCTCGATTCCTGATGGTGCTGGGCACAACAGCCCTGGGCAGGCTGCATCCTCTTCTGCTCGGCAGCGGACTGTTGCCTCTGTAGACCCCAGCGTCTGCGGAGACCTCTGCAGTTCCTTCTTCAGACTATATTAGTTTAGGGTTCACCAGACTTAAAAGAGAGGCATCCCTGTTTTCTCTACATCAGGTGTCACTTATTAAAAGAAACTTATGAATGCCGCTCATTTGAAGAAAGTGGTTTTTGATACCAAACAAGAAAATAAAAGAATCCTGATTTTTCTCTTTTTCTTTCCCCTGGAAGCCTTCAAGGACCAGAAGGCTTGGGGAAATATTTTACCAATATTTTTACCCCCACAAAGTCTTAAAAAGAGCAGACATCCTCGTTCAGGAAACAGATGATCTTAGTGATAAAGAAGCGTATGTCCCTTTGCTGTTTTAACTTCCCAACAATCAGTCCCCACACGGCCCCCTCTCCTTGTCACGGAGAGAAAATGTCTCACCTTGTAGATCTGTAGTTGTGCCCTGTGGCATTGAGGGCTGCTGCAGGCTGGGGAGTCTGCAGGCCTCGTGTCCTTGTCTCTGGCACCCCCTGCCCTGTTGGCACTCTGCCTGCCAGGGCACCAGCTCCAACTTTGGGGGCAGCCCTCCCTGTGCCCCTGCTGCCCAGACCTATCTCAGGTGTGCGTGCACCTGACTGAGGGCAGGCACATCTCTTGTTCTCTCCAGCCAAGAACCTACACAGAGGAGGAACTGAATGCCAAGCTGACCCGGCGTGTGCAAAAGGCAGCTCGGAGACAGGCCAAGCAAGAGGAACTTAAGCGGCTACATCGAGCCCAGGTAAAACGCATAGGGTGGGCCCACGACACATGCAAACGGAAACCTCTCGTGCAGCACCTTCCTATTTGGTCCTCATCCACAGGAAGGGCAGGCTGAGAAGGTAGAGCAGAGGTATGTGGGCATCCTTGTCATCTGAGGTGACAGGCCCAGAATGCCTTTGGCTTGAGGCAGTGGCAGGGGCCCCACCTTTGTGGAGCCATTGGTAAAAGGGGGAGTGGCTTTGAGTTTCCCAAATTCTTCTGTCTACAGTAATCATTGTAAAGTCAACTAGTTCAATTCTAAGAACTGTTGTCGAGCATCAGTCTGTGGCCTCTGAACCTCTGGTGGGCCTGGGATTTTGTAGGAGGTCAGAGCTCTTCTCCCAGTCGATAATCTCTGTCTTCAGGCTACACAGATCATTTCTTTTTAATTTTTTAACTTGTAAAGGCAGGATTTCCACTGTGCTCTTCCAGGAGCCTTTTCCAGCACTTCAGCAAGGCCTGAGGTCACAGTACTTCTTCCTGCAGAGACTATGTCCACTTCCTGTCCTTGCCCTGCCCCAGGAGGGGCTGCACTACTTCACCTACAGGCCTTGATGCTGACTGCCAACGGCCTGGGGCCTTGTCTGCACAAGTGACAAGGCCAGAGTCCTCTGAGCACAGTGCCCACAGACTAGAGCCTTTTTACCAGAGCTGTGACATCTGTGACATCATTTATTTTTCTCCCTCTTTGTGTTTGGATAGTTAGTTTTCCCCTTGAAGTCTAGAGATGAGACCAGGTTGTGAGCTCATGCATTCTGTTTGTGGGCAGATCATCCAGCGGCAGCTGGAGCAGGTGGAGGAGAGGCAGCGGCAGCTGGAGGAGAGAGGGGTTGCTGTGGAGAAGGCGCTCCGTGGCGAAGCAGGTACTGTCCACCCCTCTGTGCAGAGGTTTGCTCCTGAAGGAGAGCCCTCCCTCCCCACTGTGGTAGGCTAGTTCCGCACCACCTCATCTGGATTCAGCTCCTTCGCCAAAAGGATTTTCTGGGTCCATTCATCACTGAGATTTGGGGCTAACTATTAAAATAGCAAGAGAAAAGAAAAGCACCTGTGTCTGGAATGGCCTCTAGAGCCCAGACCTGCCGCTCAGCCCCTCTCATGGCTTGCCATGTCCCTGTAGAGTCGAATTTCAGTCCCCGGCATCTGTTGATGGCAAGTCCTAGGCCTCCTTCACCGAACCACCTTTCCCACCCCACTGTTTTCTCTAGGAGAAAATAACTGGGAACGAGGGAGATTGTACTGCAAGGAGCCATCACAGAACTGCAGTGAGCAGGTCCCCACCTCCTGTCTTTAGGTTCCTGGGCCCTCTCTGCCCATGCTGGACAGAGCGCCCCAGGACACAGTCCCACAGAGCCCTCACCATTGCCTGTTTGGGGCATGTGGCTGCCCTTAGCACACAGAGATTTCCCAGGGGTCATCCAGGTTGTGTCGCATGAAGGCCAGTCACTTGGAGCAGGTCCGGAGAGGCTCGGGGGACTGTGACAGGCTGCTGTTCCTGGCAAGGAGGAGCTCAAGGGTGGGGTGCAGTCACACCCACTCTGCCACCCACGGAACCAGTGGGTTTGGGGTCAGCACAGTTGGACGCAGAGAAAGCAAGAGAGTGCCGGAGTCATCTGTGGTCCCAAAGGCCCAGGAAGTCCTGTTGTTTCAGGACCTTGAAACCACTAGGCAAACATTAACTGTAACCCCAGCCCCAGGCATGGAATGACTGTTCTCTGCTTCCTTAAGCGTCCACGAGTCCCGATCTAGTCTCTGGATGGGGAAACCTCCATCTCTTTGTAAAGAGAGCCTGGGAGCCACAGATTCAGCATTCAAATCGTGAGGCTAGAGATAAAGAAAGGCAGTGACTTCTTATTACCCCTCACTGTAGTGTGGCAAGAGGGGAGCAAGTGGTACCTCTCCTGGCAGGCAGGCTGTCTGTGAAATGGAAGAACTGGGAAGAGGCCACCAAGAGCAGGATCAGCAACTTATCTTGCTCAAAAACTGACCAATGGGCTGACCTCATGGAGCGTGCCTAGTGTTAAGATGAGTCCCCATGGTTCTACAGGACTGAAGGTCATGCCACGGGGAGTTAAGGGAGTCAGACACAGACTAGGTCTCCTTTTCCAGGCCCCTTAAGGCCTAGAACGTGCAGCTTATCCATCGACTCAGCAATGACCTTCAGGTGAAGAGACGGGATGGGGGAGAAAGATGTTCAGAATGTGGATGTTCTTGGTTTTGTGCCTCACCTGATGTTGGACTTAATCCTTGAAGCCCAGGCTGCCAAAGGAAATGCAAACCGCTTAGCATCCAGTAAGCCAAAAAGACTGAGATGTGTTACTGCGAGGCAAGCACTGGCAAGGATGGAGATTCAGGTTCACCTCAAAGGGAGCCAGGCTACCCAGTGAGCCTGGGGTGTCCCCCACTGTCTTGTGGGTCCCTCCCCGACCCTTATTCTCTGACCCAACCTCCTTGATTACACCTGTCCTAGAGGGAGCTAGCCCCAACCCACCAGCGATGCCTGTGCCCGGTTGCACCCTGGCCCCAGCGTTCCCCTCGTGGCTTTCTTCTTATTGCAGAAGATACCAGGAGGGAGCCTGCGCCCACCATCATTCCTTCTTACCCTTCTCCACAAATTGCTTCTGCCAACATGGAAAGTGATGGATAGATCTCTCAACACATAGTGAGAATAGCTCAACAGGTGTATGCATCTACATTTCATAGTCAGCATCCTCCAGGAAGAGGAAGATGCTCCTACCCTGCTCCTCCCTCACTAGGTTCTGAGGTTCAGGTGGGTCCCATTGAGCACCTGCTGGCTGCCATGCAGTTTGAGTCTAAAATAATACTTCAGTACTTCTGTAACAGGCCATGTTATTGAAGCTTCTGCCAATGGGCCAGAAATAATATACTACTGGAGATTGGTATAGGATTTTCCCAAAATTCTTCCTCCTACTTGTTTAGCTATACAACCCGAATTTCATCTAAGTCAGTGGTTTTCAAACTTGTTTCTTAGCAGCAGAATTTTTTGTAAGATTATAAGTTCAAGTTTAAAATAAAAAAGAATTACTCCAAGATATTAATGAACACAAATTTGAAAACAGGTTATAGGAGAGAGCCTCAGCATCCAGTTGGGGTATGGTGTGGAGTACACCCTTATACACAGCTGGTCTGGAGTTCGACCAGTGATAATAGGGTTATTTTAATAGCTCACTTAGAAATCTCAGGATATCTGCAGTTTAAATGATATAGATGCTAAAAACTTAAAAATGGAGCAATAGCATTTTTTTCCACAGTTGAATGATAAGAAATCTAACAACACTTCATATTCTTTATAAAGAACAAATCTTCAGGCAGCAAGTTCCCAAACATAAGCAGAAAAACCCAACTATGCTATGATATTTTCACAAATGTGTTACCCACCTAAAGGACCTCGCTGACAGGAGCACGCTGAAGGGTGGGCCTCTCACTGGGCTCTCCCCAGTGCTCCTGTTCCCTGGCACATGAGCAGTGTACTTGCAGGCCAGAGCATAAGTAAGTAAAACTTCCTCTTCACTAATGCATTTATAGGGAGTTCAGATACTTGCACACAGAGAGCAGGGTAACTTGGTCCTGAGGGCCCTACAAAAGTGAGTTTACCTGGCAGCACAAATTAATGTGTTGACAGTCCTCAGTGGGTTAAAAGTTGGCATGTAAAACATTTAAAGGTGATTTATCTCATTTAAATCTTTTAAAAGAGTTAAAAGTATTTGTAAATCAGGTATTTGGGAGACCCCTGGAATCCCTTTTGAAGAACCCCAGGGTTCCACAGAAGTTTGAAAACCACTGTTCTAGTCCAAATTCCTTCCTTTAGGTAAGTCTTCACCAAAATATCTCAATCCAAAGACATGCCTTCTCTGTTTTTATTCATTTATTTATTTTTTTATTTTTGAGACAGAGTCTCACTTTGTTGCCCAGGCTAGAGCGAGTGCCGTGGCATCAGCCTAGCTCACACCAACCTCAAACTCCTGGGCTCAAGCGACCCTACGGCCTCAGCCTCCCGAGTAGCTGGGACCACAGGCATGCACCACCATGCCCGGCTGATTTTTTTCTATATATATTTTTAGTTGGTCAATTAATTTCTTTCTATTTTTAGTAAGACGGGGTCTCGCTCAGGCTGGTTTTGAACTCCTGACCTTGAGCAGTCCGCCCGCCTCGGCCTCCCAGAGTGCTAGGATTACCGGCGTGAGCCACCGCGCCCGGCCCTTGCTCTGTTTTTAAAGATGGGCCATGGTAACTCTGTAGGGATATTTCCCCATGATGCATTTGAGAGATCCTGAGGATATAGTGATTCCTACCATAAGAATATACTTTCAAATATATTATTTTCCTCCTCTTATGTGAATACATCACTTCCAAGGCTGGTCCAATGTCAGAATTCCCCATGGCCCTGCTCCTGCTTGGCAGATACCATCTTTGGAGCTCACGTGTGCACCCTGGCCGCTCCTTTCTCCCCTGCTTCTGCGCTCCATTCTGCTCCATTGTCTCCTTGCACCTGGCTGAGCCCTGAAGAAGGCAGCCTCAGCTGAGCATGACAATCTGGAGTCTTCCAACAGCGGAACCCCTTCCCTGGGGGTGGTACTGAGCTGGCCAGAACCTGCCATTCTGTCTCACTTGATGGTCTCAAGCTTCCATCGCTGTCTGAAGGTGTCAGACTTTGTTAGCCAAGCTTCCCTACCAGAGAAGAGATCTGATGCAGACCTGCCATCCCATTCATCTCAATTTTTCTAAGGTTTATGTGTATCCAAGCCACAAGGATTAGCTTCCAAGCCTTTGAGCCTAGGGCAAGACCAAGACTTATGTGATTTCTGGTCCTGGGGCACCTGAGAAGCTTTTTTTATTTTTTTCTGGTATCCTGATTCAAACTTAAAACCACTGGATCATCCTTGAGCATGAGTTGCAAAGCCATTGCAGGATTGCATTTTGCTGTCTAATGAGTTCTTAAAGGGCAGACCTTCAGGTAGAACAAAGGCTGCCAGGACCAGCATTCAGAGTACTAGGCTTGGGGGAAGGGTAATACATTAGCAGTTGAATGTTGTGCTCTGCATCTCCTTATTGTTCCATGGAGATGCGGACCGCCTGCTCAAGCCAGCCCCTTGCAGTGCCCAGCCTTTGCATCTCAGGCATGGGGAGAACCTAGCACCCTTGGCTGGGTAGCCAGAGAGCTACCAGGCTAGGGGTGCCTGTGGCCAACAGACCACAGCCTTCAGGCAAATAGTCAGGGGAGGAACTCTGCATAAGCCACAACTCTTCTCCCACTTTTAAAGCGAAGCCTGACTGAAGCTGGGGGCCTAAACCTCAGAGGAAACAGGATCTCCTTCATCTCAGACCCATTCAGCAAAAGTGATTCTGCAAGGAGTTTGATATTTTCACCAATGGGGTCACCTGTGAATTCTTGGCAAAGCTCTGACTGCACTTAAATCTAAGGACTGGCATCCTTGCAGAGCTTTTGTAGGATGTTGGCATCTTGCCTCTAGCCCCTCTGTCTGGGGCTTCTAATATTTAAAAACTAAGAAAGTAAGTAGCACTGATCTACCCTTGAACTTTCTTAAATCTTCTTAGTTAGATAAGGTTGAGTCCCAGCTGGGTTGGAGTTTCTAACAACTGATCTGAAGCATAAACAGGAATCATATTGATAATGGCTATTAACTCCATCACTGGTGGTTTTGAGTGCATTTCCCCCTGCCCCCACCACCAGGTGTGCAGATGTAGCATGTGCGTGCATACGGAATACAGTGCACTTACAGAGATGCATGCTTTCCAGCTGTTCCTCCTTGCCTTCTTCTGTACCTCTGTGTTTCTTATGCTTCATGCTTTGGGTGTGGGGACAGGAGGGTTATCTGATTGAATAACTCTCTCTTCACCAATTCCTTGTTGTAGACTATTGGGGAGAGTCTTATTACAGTGACCTCATCGACTTGCATCTGGGTGGTATGTATAGCAGCGTCTTTCACTGACACTAACCCCGCTGACACCCTCTCCCCCAAACCCTTGCTCTTCCCAGTCTTTGCTCACAAAAACAAGGAGAAATCAACCTGATAACCAATGGCCAAAGCACAGACCCTTTTCCAGCTCAGAATGGAGCAGCATGCCAGATCTCTCCATTACCTATACATACTCCAGAGGAGGATCTGAGCTAGCTTCTGCCTGGGGCTATTTTAATTTTTTTTTCTTTTTTTCTCATTCTGCCTCTGACTTCTATATTTTAATTTTTTATAATAAAACTTCACCAACTCCACCTCATCAACCTTGCATCTGCATCCTGGTCCCCCTAATATTGTTTGGTTGTTTGACAGCAACACACACGCTCCAACATGGCGTTGCCCTAAATTTCACCCCTCACAACTAGTAGGTATCACACCCACTGGGAAGCTCACTACCAGTCACGCTTAGGAAGCAAATATATGAGGAACTCAGCCTCGACCATTTTCATTAGCGCGTGCTTACACTTCCCCCACATTCACCACACTTGAGGCCAGGTTGACAAATGCCTTTCTCGTTTTGCCCTGAGACCGACTTTGTACTTCTTTTCAATAAAGATAGGAAAAGCTTAAGGCAGTGGTTCTCAGAGTGTGGTTCCTGGATCAGCCGCATTACCTGGGAACTTGTTAGAAATGCATATTCTCTAGCCAGTGATACTCTGGGCCACTCAGACAGTAGGAACACTCAGATTGCCTCTTTTGGATTCTGTACCACTTTGGATGAGTAATGGGAACAGTTCCTTCTCTAACTTTCTAATAAATGTGACCAAGATTCATTAAAAAAAAAAAAAGAAATGCAAATTCTCAGCCTCCCACCCTAGACCTGAATCAGAAACTCTGGAGGTGAGGCCTGATCATCTGTGTTTTAACAGATCTTCCAGCTGATTCTGATGCATCTAAAGTGGGAGAACCACCAGCTTAAAGGAATTCCATATATTTGATGTCTTGCTGTACTAAGCTCACCATTTGTATTAGCCCAGAGAAAGGACTGATCCATGAGCCTTGTTTCTAGGCTTTAGGCAGTTTTCCTCCTGGAAAGCTGCCATTGTGTCAAGAGGAATGTCAGGCAGCTGACACTTAGGTGAAGTAGAAGGGGACTCTGGCACCTTGTTGTCCCTGTACCTCAGTCGGGCAGTCTGACCTTCTCCTTTTCCTCTCCCCTTGAAGGCTGTGTGCCTAGAAGTGTTTTGAAACAGAAAAGCAGGCAGGGATAACTCTCTCATTTTTTTATCCCAACCCTGTTCTTTTAAGAGAGTCACTTATTGGCCCATTCATTTAAAAACCAAAGCTGTGATTCCGACTGTAAGACAGTAGGACTGTAAGACAGCTGTGATTCCTACTGCTCACCAATCCGGGGTGGGGCTCTTGGCCTCCTTGGAGAGGGGGAATGTTGCTGTCTCTACTCTCTGTGCTCTTCGATCCCTGCCCCTGTAGACTCCGTCAGGGTCCCGAGCTCCTGGCGTGTTCAGCGGCCTCCACACCACAGCCATGGATGCTGTAAAAGGGCTGGTGCTTCCGTCCGATTAACAGACCCCGCTCCCCGCCTAACGCCCTCCGGCTTCCTCCTAACACTTCCTAGGGAACGTTCGTGTCGATTCTACGTGAATCTCAATGTATGAAAGACTTTTTTAAAATTCAGACTCTCCTGGAAGGAGCTGTCAAAGCCCATTTCTCTGCAGGCATATTCGCCCTTCCCTCCCAGCTCCAGATACTGTTGCCACGCTGATCATCTCATGTCCATCTCGTTTGTCTTTTTTTTTTATTTCAGCATATTATGGGGGTACAAGTGTTAAGGTTATGTATATTGCCCATGCCCCTCCCTCGAGTCAGAGCCTCAAGTGTGACCATCCCCTAAACATTGCACATCTCACTCAATATGTTTGTATATACCCGTCCCCTCTCCCCTTCCCACCTTCCCGACACCCGATAAATGTTACTCCTATATGTCCACTTAGGTGTTGATCTGCTAATACCAATTTGCTGGTGAGTACATGTGGTGCTTGTTTTTCTATTCTTGAGATACTTCACTTAGTAGAATGGGTTCCAGCTGTATCCAGGAAAATACAAGAGGTGCTGTATCACCATTGTTTCTTAAAGCTGAATATACTCCATGGTATACATATACCACATTTTATTAATCCACTCATGAATTGATGGGCACTTGGGTTGTTTCCACAGCTTTGCAATTGTGAATTATGCTGCTATAAATATTCGAGTGCATGTGTCTTTTTCATAAAGTGACTTTTGATCTTTTGGGTAGATGCCCAGTAGTGGAATTGCTGGATCAAATAGTAGATCTACTTCAATCGCATTAAGGTATCTCCATATTGCTTTCCACAGAGATTGAACTAGTTTGCAGTCCCACCAGCAGTGTAGGAGTGTTCCTATCTCTCCACATCCACGCCAACATTTGTTGTTTGGGGACTTTTTGATAAAGGCCATTCTCACTGGAGATAAGTGATATCTCATTGCAGTTTTGATTTGCATTTTCCTGATGATTAGAGATGTTGAGCATTTTTTCATATGTTTGTTGGCCCTTATTCTGTCTTCTTTTGAAAAATTTCTGTTCATGTCCTTTGCCCACTTTTGATAGGGTTGTTTGATTTTTTTCTTGCTGATTTTCCTGAGTTCTAAATAGATTCTAGTTATCAGCCCTTTATCGGATGCGAAAATTTTCTCCCATTCTGTGGGTTGTCTGTTTGCTCTCTTTTTTTTTTTTTTTTGAGACAGAGTCTCGCTTGTTGACCAGGCTAGAGTGAGTGCCGTGGCATCAGCCTAGCTCACAGCAACCTCAAACTCCTGGGCTCAAGCAATCCTTCTGCCTCAGCCTCCCGAGTAGCTGGGACTACAGGCATGCGCCACCATGCCCGGCTAATTTTATATATATATTAGTTGGCCAATTAATTTCTTTCTATTTATAGTAGAGACGGGGTCTTGCTCTTGCTCAGGCTAGTTTCGAACTCCTGACCTCGAGCAATCCGCCCGCCTCGGCCTCCCAGAGTGCTAGGATTACAGGCGTGAGCCACCACACCCGGCTTGTTTGCTCTCTTGACAGTTTCTTTGGCAGTGCAGAAACTTTTTGATCTTTATCCCTGTTGCACAAGTGAGAAAAGGTAGCAGGCAGTTTTCACTTCTATCTCTCTGGACTCCAGCTACTAGCTTTTTGGATTTAGAATCCCAATAAATTCCAGGAGGAAATGAAATAAATATAAAAAAGAAACTTAGTGTGCCTTCTGAACTCTAAGACATCCCACCCTGACCATCTGTTGAAAATGGTTCTGCTCGACCCCTCACTTCCCCCTCTGCCAGCCCATTAGGGTTTTATGTAAAATTTAGACTTCTCTTGTGGGTTCTGCTCACCACAGAGAGGCTGCTGCCACCGCCTACCAAGGAAGCATGAAAGAAACACTGTTCTGGAGGGAGTCACTTTTGTACTTAAGGCAGCAGAAAAAGTGTCCCCAGGCCCTGTTCTCATCAAGCCCAAGGCAGAAGACATAGATGCCAGGATTTGTTCCCTTTTCCATTTGTGCTGGTGCTTCATTTTTGGAGCACTTGGTAATATTTGGGAGGGGGGGAATTACCCTTAGGCAAGGTATGACGTACGTAACCTGGTTGCTCCTATGCTCTTACATCCCCAAAAGGCCCCTGGAAGCCCCATTTCTGAGCCACAGCCCAGATCCTGTTTCTCCAGTGGGTGAGACAGAGCTCCAGGCAGCATGAGGGGTGCCAGGATTTCCAACTCCTGCCCAGAGGAGTCCAGGTGCCTGACCCCTGCCCGGGGCTCTGCCTGTCACACTACGTGACTTTAGTGGGCTCTTCTAGTCACTCCCTATCTCAAAAGTCTCTTTGAGCCAGAGCGGAGAGAACAATTTCCCTTCCTCATGTAGCTTGACCTTGTGCTTTCACAAGAAAACATTAAAGGACACAAAATAACCCTTGGCCCAGGGAGGAAGGGTCCCCAAGCAGCCACTCCCTTCCCCTCTTCTTCCCCAGGACACTGAACAGGCTCAGCGCAGCCCAGCACACACTTGTTGCAGTAGGACAGAGATGACTAGAAATCTGCAGGGGAAAACCACATCTCTTCTGAAAAACTTCAGATTAAAAACATATGTAATTTCTAGTTTCATAGACCTCACCTCTTGATTTATGTGTCTAAAAGGGATATTTAAAGAATATGGAAGGTTTGGAAATGTAACAGGACTGGAAAGCAGTCCTTCATTGTTGCTAATGAGATAGGGCTGGGGTTGCAGGGAGGCTACCCCAGCCAGCCCCTTACCCACTTCTGAGTGAGTACCCTCTCATTCTGTTTGTTTCCGTTAATTTGCTGTTGGTAGATTCTTGGTTTGCCTGCTCAGTCTGAGTGTTAGCCTGGCTCTGCTTTGTTTAGGAACTTTGGAATCCTTGAGGTTTCTGTGTGTGTGTGTGTGTGTGTGTGTGCGCACGCGCGTGCTTTGGATCTCAGTTCTTACATTCTTACATGCATTTTGGGGGGTTGCCTTCATTTCCTCCCAGTCTGGAGATTCATTCTACACTGAGTTTTTATAGCACCAGGCATCTCCTTGCCCTGTCATATATATATGCTAGCCTGGCCTTACCGGACCAACCTGGCTATCACGCTGCCTGCTGACCTCTCTGCAACATTGCAAACCGGCCAGGCTGAATCCCTGTCAGGGCCACAGTGTTTGTCATTGCCCCCAGGTTTGGGGCTGGACCTGTGCCTTGCAGTGCAAAGGCTGCCTCGTTCCAGGGGTGTGGTGTTGGCACTGCTTTAGTACACGTCACCTGCCCAAGACAGAGCAGAAAATCAATGAAAACCCCATTCCTCATACCACCACCAAGAAATTCTTCCATCCCTGGGCTCTTTGCCTTCTGCAAGTTTAGTCTGGTCTATTGAGCGTGGGTGTGACAGGTAATGCCCCTGGAAAAGGTGAACAAAAACTCTGCAGTGTCTATAGCAGGAGTTAGATGAAAAGATATTGCTCCAGTGCTGGGTCACTTACCAGTAAGTATAGTGGCACTACTGCCAAAAACAAGTGTGAGAAGTGGCGAATCCACCTCAGCAGGCTGAGGGCTACACAGGGCTGGCCCAGAGTGGCAGGAAAGTGAAACCTCGAAATGTTCCTGAGAAACGAGTGTGTCTCTTTCCTGGCCCTGACACCTTGGAACGGTTGTTCAGAGGCCAGAGGAAGTCAAAACCAAAAAGAATCTCTTTGTACATGCAGGATGTTCAAAAAGCATAGCTAAAGGGGAAATAACCTAACCCTGGGCACTTTACAGATGATTATCCATGGAACAAGCTGCAGTGTATCAAAAGGGAAAAATCTTTGGGGCCAATCTCCAGCTTTTGAAAGGGTGACACTCTATAATGTTCTCAAGCTGATTTGGAATTCCATATTTTCATGTGGGCCGGGCGCTGTGGCTCACGCCTGTAATCCTAGCTCTCTGGGAGGCCGAGGCGGGCGGATTGCTCAAGGTCAGGAGTTCGAAACCAGCCTGAGCAAGGGCGAGACCCCGTCTCTACTAAAAATAGAAAGAAATTAATTGGCCAACTAAAAATATATAGAAAAAAAATTAGCCGGGCATGGTTGCACATGCCTGTAGTCCCAGCTACTTGGGAGGCTGAGGCAGAAGGATTGCTTGAGCCAGGAGTTTGAGGTTGGTGTGAGCTAGGCTGACGCCATGGCACTCACTCTAGCCAGGCAACAAAGTGAGACTCTGTCTCAAAAAAAAATAAAAAAATAAATAAATAAATATATTTTCATGTGGAAATGCAGTTATAAATGTTGACTCAGCTCATAAAAAGCCATTTTCCCCATCATGTGTCTGTAAACAATACTAGGCTGGTGACACCCCAGGACCTAACCACTCCTGGGGAAATGCAACATTCCAGGCTGGGAATTCTGGGATCTAGAGTTTTCCTTGGCAGGCCATGGCAGAGCCTGGGGCTAGAGCACAGCTCTAGACCAGCTCCCTGGCCGTCCCTTTCTTTTTGTGAGGAATTTTTGAGAATGGCCCAACAACTTGCTTTCCTTTTGCAACTGCCCTCACCTTTGCTTCCAATGAGAAATTCTTTCCTGCTTTGGCTCTTAAAGCAAACGGGGCTTCTGCATGGCTGGCACAGGGCGTGGTGCAGCAGAGGGCTCAGTACACATTTCTCATAAGGATTGTCAGTCTCTCACATTGTCCTTAAAATAAGCCCATGGTCCTTACAAGGAACTTCTAATTGTTCTTGATATTAACACCAATGTAGAAGCCAGTGGCTTAAATATGACCCAGCAGAATTGAATGATAGAATTGGAAATGCAGGGCCTCAGCTGATGCCCATCCCAGCACACGCTGTACCTGGTGGTCATCAGGCTATGGACAGAGCTAGGCCTTTGACCTGGCCCCTTCGGGCTTTGTGATCACATCCTCACTTCTCCTTGTGAGAAAGGCACAAACTTTTCTCTACCTCTCAGGCTCGGGAGTAGGGCCCTTGGGATTGTGACTACCAAAAGGACTGAAGTAGGTTTTGTCTACATTTCAGATGAATATCCAAGCTCAGTATCTCGAGGGTTCGTGTGTTTGTTTTCTCCAGGCATCTGAACATCTCGTTCGGTGGGATGACGGTGGGAGGGGAGGCTGCAGTGTGTTAGGTCTTGTGCAAGGCCTTCATGAGAAAGCAGGGAGAAGGTAGAAATGTAGAAAGGACATGTTCTGAGAAGGGGGACTTGCCACAGAACAGTCCACTCTTTCTCCAGCCTGCCAGCCCTTCCGCCCCACCTGGGCAGGGCCAGGTGGCAGTGTGGGAGCGCCCCCAATGGAGGAAGGTGAGGCCTGGATTCAGGCCCTGCCTCATGACCTCCCTGGCCAGGTTTCTTATCCTTTCTGGGCCTAGAGACAGGGTAGGAAGGGATGGCGTACCTCCCGTCCGGGAGGAGATGTGTGGCTCTTGTTTGAGCACTTTGAGTAGCCCCCGTTCGTTAGTTTTGCTTAGAGCCTGTGTTGGCCCTTTACAGAGGGCAGGCTCTTAGTTCAGAGTAGGAAAGGAAGATGTGGGTTCTAGTCCAGGCTCTGCCGCACTTAACTCCTGTGAGCCTCAGACCCCTTGTTGAAAATGGAGATCTAGGGCCTGTCCAGAGAGCCAGCGTGAGGCCAGGCGGAGCCGCAGGTGGAGAGCGCTTTGAGACTAGAGCGGCCGCCCGTGTTCACGCCACGCGCCACACCGGAAGAGGGTGAAGCAGGCCCTGCTGTTGGATGGCATTCTACCTTTCAAGATTCAGTGGCACGTATCACCTGCACCCAGGTGTCAAGCAAGTGGGCACTAAAGAGCTGCCTGTGGGGTCACATTTCAAAAGGCTGTGCTGCTTCAGAGGGGAGATCCAGCTTGGGCCTAGGCAGAAAGGGGGCCTGGGCTGCTGGCAGAGCGTGGCAGGCAGGCACAGCCAGGGCCGCAGATGACAGCGAAGACCCCTGGTGAAGCCTCCAACCTGGGCCGAGCCCTAGGGAGCCCAGAGGAGGCAGGAGTGGTTTGAGAGGTGACAGATATAACTGTTAGCAAGACACAGAAACCCGTTACCCTGATAGTAAAAAAACCAAAAACTTCTATTTGCTGTAAGCTTGCAGATATCTTTGTCCTTAGAACCAGTGAACCAAATCATCTATGTCTTACATCTCCTTAAAAGGCAAAGAGATCACCATCCAAAGCAGCGCCCGGGCCCTGCATGCTCGGCAGTGGCAGTCTGGGGTGGAACTCCCCTTGTTTAACTGGGTTTTCCCTCCCATTTCTTCTTTTGAAAATACGATTTATTGGGTGTTTTTTCTGATTATTAAAGTATTATACATTCATTATGGAAATCTTAGAGCATACAAGAAAGTCTAAAAAAGAAAGCAGTGATTGCTCACACTGTCAACTTGCCCGACCCTCCAAGGGATGCTTTGGCCTCTCCCAGTCTGCCTCTGCCTGTTGTCTGGGACACCTTTTCTTTTCTTTTTAAGCACTTGCTTTACCTGATGTATCCTTTTTCTAATTTCATTTCCTAATTTTGTTCTCTATATTCTGTTATATTATATTGTCCTCTGTATCGGAAAGGGTGTATGAGGATGTGGTCTACATAAAAGGAGCTAAAAGCTGTATTTTGTGATGTCTAGAAAGTAGAAACACATTTTTTAATCTACAGGTGGAGGTGCCTGCTTCTTTGTTTCGGATGGTTGGTTGTGTATCCTGGCGTTGTCCCTTGCTAACGCATATGGATGCTGTCCCCTCCGCACCTCGGCCTCTTCACATGTGACAAGAGTCCTGGGAAGCAGCAGGGTGCTCCTGCCGTCGTACCTGATGGGGTCCATCCAGGGACTTAGCCTCAGCACCGACACTACACTTTGAAACCAGGAAGGTTGACTGTAGATTTGCTGTAAGGCCAAGCACACTTCTTAGGAAAGAAGCCCTTCTCCCTCGCCCCCACACATCAGCTGGTCTGTCTAGGACACTGGAGGGTCAGCGTTTCCTTCTCTCTCTCTCTCTCTCTCTCTCACACACACACACACACACACACACACATACACAAGGACTGTCTCTGGCTTTAGTCTGGAAGGGTATGAGAGTCACTGTGCACAAAGCACATTCAGAAACCTGTGGGGTTTTTAAAAAGAGAGGACGTGTACCCGCATTTATTTAGCACGGTAGGATGGCTTCTCAACTAACAGTGTGTGTTTGGCCCCTCTGTTGACTAAAGCAAGGCTGTTTCTCCAACTGTGTCCTTCCCATAGACTACACACTGATGCCCTTGTAGGCCCGAGGCCCTGTCCCCCCGTGTGTGCTCCTGTGGTTCTGTGATGGTCCCTTGCTACCTCCTCTCCCTCGTCCTTGAGTAGCCATCAGATCCCCGGGTCCTAGAGATGTCTCTGCACACTATCTCTCCCAGTTCCCCGTCCACCACTCTCACCAGTATCATTCCTGTAAGTTTTTGGCATGTCCTGTCAGCTCACACCCTTTTGGTCTCACAGTCCAAAGTGTGACAGCCTCCCACCAGTCCCTGTCACTATCCCCAGACCCCCATGTGCGGGAGAGCCAAGCCATCTTCTGGCCCTGCCACCCCTCTGTGGAGGGTCCAGTGCCACCACTGGGAAGTCACCTCTATGTGTGTACATTCCCCCAAATTGTCCTGGCTCAGAATTGGAAGCACTGCAGGTGTCAGCCCCTGCGAGCCCCTCACAGGATCAGGCGCAAGATTCCTTCCTGCGTGCATGGCAACCTGAAGCAGATGCCCCGCTTGCCCCTTGATTTATCAAGGCTGGTTCTATGTCAAGCACATATGCCTATGGTGACAGAATGTTCCTCCCAGGTTGTCACCTAAAAACCTGGAGCAGTGTTGGCCACTTATTTAATACAGTCTGTCCCACAGAGGCAGGCAGCTCTCTCCAGGGGCTTCGGGCATCTTTGAGGAGGGAACCTAAGACCCAAGACCAAAAAGCCACTGTATGGCAATTCCTGGATGCCACTCTCCCCGCCCCCAAGGAATAGAGGGAGCAGGTGCGGCCACCGTGAGGGAGCTTGTGCGTCTCCCGTGGGGACTGTGCCCTCCCAGCCTGTGCCCGCCGGTGACTGCTGCCTGGCACCTGGGCCTGCTCTTGTTCAGTTTCTGTGCTGAAAAAAGGACTTAATTCATTTGTAGACTTTGTTTCCCTTGTTTCTGCTTCTCCATTTCTTGTATTTTTTTTTCTTTTCCTCCTGTTGTTCCTTTCTCACTTCTTACGCTTTTTGTCCTCTGCTTGTTTTTTTATTTCACCTTCTCCCTGTCCCTCTCCACTTCCAAATTCCTCCTCCTCTTTTTCCTCTTCCTTTTTTGTCTTTCTCCATTTCCTCCTCCTCTCCCTTGTTTGGTCCTTTTTGAAGTTGAGCCCAGTGGCGGGACTCCACGGCGTAGACCTCTCTCCTTCTGCCCTTGCTGTGTCCAGGAAGGTAACGTAACTCACCAACCTCATCCCCACTGCCTCAGAGGGGCCGTAGCAGCGTTAGTCAAACAGGAGCCAAAACCCAACTCTCTCTCTGCCCCTTGATAGCCCTGTTACAAAATGTCATGAGTATGTGGCAGTTTCGTACAAGGCACAGTATCCCTTTGACTGTCTAAGGGGAGGGCTGGGGCGCAGAGTGAAGCCAGAGCACCCCTAGGTACTGGCCTTTCAAGGCTGCAGGAGGACTTCTACAGTATTGTCCAGCCGTTCATGGTTTGGGCCTTTAAGTCTCCAATCCATCAGGTAGAGGGGCCAGGAACACAGGTGAGCAGCCTCCCACCTGTGTGGCAGCTGTTTGTATCAGCAGAGTCAAGGAATACTGTCCTTACAAAGACTGGTCTACACAGCTGCCCTCGGTTCTTCTCCAAAACCACCACTAAAAGCAAACTTCTCTACCTTGTGTCTTGCTGAGTGTGGGTTTTTTGTTTCGTTTTGTTTTGTTTTTTAAGTTTGTCTGATTTGAAGTCTGTTGTGGTGATAAGATTGTCGTTGAAAAGGCATGTGGGGGGTGTGGCCATGACTAACCCTGCTAACCTCTTACCTGCCCTCTACACCTCACACCGACTCTCCCCGCCCACCACAGCCCCGCCCGTCAGCTGTGTGTGCGCTCTCCTGTGGCTCCGGAGCACTGTTCACAGTCTCCTGGGGGGTTTTCGTCTCTACACGTGGGGAGGGGGGTAGGAGGGAGAGCCTCCCCGGTGTTGTCGCGGCATGCCGCACTGGGCAGCTTGCATGCCTGGGCTCCATCCTCCATGGCCATGTGGGCACACTGTGCAGAGAGGCTCCGGAAGGAATGCATGGAACTGAGCTGCGGGCTGGTTTGAAAGCCAAGAACCAAGTCTATTGGGCTGGGTGAGGAGAGCTCTGGCCCCTGGCGTGCAGGCACGCCCTCCACAGCAGCAGGCTGGGCAGGTGGGGGTGTCCATTCCCTCCTTCAGAGCAGGGCTCGGGGCAGGGCTCCCTGTGGGGGCAAAGCTGTGTGCACGGGGCACAGGCACTAACCCTGCTTGAGTGAGCACCATGCATTCTCCTCCCCAGAGTGTGGCCACCAGGTAAAGACTAATTGGCTTAGGCCTCGTGTGTGTCAAGCTGACAGCACCACAGAAAGAGATTTGTCTGTAGTGAGGAGGGAGCTTGACCTGAGAGTCCCTCCCGAGGATGCACCCCCTACGCTCCTGGGCTTGTCTCAACAGGGCTGCAGCATACCCCCAAGCGACTCAGAAAGTGGAAGGGACTTTGAGAGATTTCCCAGGCCAGTGCCTCTTAACCTGGGATTCTGTCTGAAGTTGTTTGGTGTGTACTCATAAGTACTTTTCTAGGAAGAAAGTCCCTAGCTTTCATGAGATTCTCAAAACAGTTTGTAATCCAAAAATATTGGAGAACCACTGACATACTCTGTATTTCAGGCAGGACCACACTTTTGCCATGAGCTTCTTTGTACGCCAAGGAAAAGGAGTTTGTTTCCTCCTTGGGTGGTTTGATCCCTTGGAGAGTTCTTCCTTCCACCCTCCTGCTACGGCCAAGCCCAGCAGGTCAGGCCGCTCCTGGTGGAGATTTAGATGTCAACTGTGTGCTGGTTCAGGGCACTTGAGCCTAGTAGGCAGGCAGCCCAGACACTGCTGTCAGACTGGATCAGAGCAAGGCATGGCCACCTGCTTCAGTGTCTAGGCTCTGCCACTGTTTCTCTGCTCTTGGTGAGAAACCTGCTAGTCATCCTGGGCTGCACTGCACAGCCCCTGAGGATTGGGTGGGAAAGTGCCAGGAAGCTTGCTAGGCTACAAGTTAAGCAGAGGTGTCTTTGTGTCAGGATACAAAGAAATGATGTAGCAGTGGCCCCAGAGAAGGGCACTACCCAAGGAAAGAAGTGGGTTAAATGAGCATAACTTAAAACGAGGGCAAGATATAGTTTATAAATCCACATTTGCTTCATTTATTAGACTGATTTCCACAAGGAGACCAAGTGCCAGATAAATAATAACTGAAGGGAAAAAAAGAGAGGGGAAAGCATTTAAAACATACCAAAAGAAAACCATTGAGCAGGAAAGGTAAAAGCAAGCTCCCAGGAGGCAAGAGTCACCGCCGGCCAAGGCCACTGATGGGTAAGGCAGGGCTGGGAAGGACAGGTAGAAGCTCAGGCTGGGCCAGGCCCTGGGAGCGTGTGCCGGGGCCTGCCATTCTCTGCCCCTGCCGTGGCTGTAGGCAAACTTTGGACCTGGCTTGGGAGTGTTCCGGCAGCATCTTGCTCGGCTCTCTTTGCACATTTGCCCCAGTGTGACGATTCCTGAGGGCTGGGGTAGACCGAGGGAGACACTCCCTGCAGCCGACACATGCTCTCTCTTGGCAGGCATGGGCAAGAAGGATGACCCCAAGCTGATGCAGGAGTGGTTCAGGCTGGTGCAAGAAAAGAACGCCATGGTGCGCTACGAGTCTGAGCTGATGATCTTGTGAGTGGCTTCAGGCCAGAGGGCCCAGCAGGGGTGGGGGTGGGGGGACGTCAGCCCCATGCCTGTCTCAGCAGACATACCAACCCTTCCTAATTTGGTGGGGAAGGGGGGGTGGTCCCCAAGTCACTGTTGCTTGTTTCCCTCCCTGCCCCGCAACCTCAGTGCCCGGGAGCTGGAACTGGAAGACCGGCAGAGCCGACTGCAGCAGGAGCTCCGGGAGCGGATGGCGGTGGAGGGTGAGTGGGGGGTGCACGGGGAGCCGTGTGGCTCTCGCCTCCAGGCCCTCACACCTGATGTCTTTGGCTACTCTCCAGATCACCTAAAGACTGAGGAGGAGTTGTCAGAGGAGAAGAAGATCCTTAACGAGATGCTGGAGGTGGTAGAGCAGAGAGACTCCCTGGTGGCCCTGCTGGAGGAGCAGCGGCTCCGGGAGAAAGAGGAAGACAAGGACCTGGAGGCCGCCATGCTGTCCAAGGGCTTCAGCCTGAACTGGTCCTGAGCTCCCACTCACGCTCGCCGTTGGTCTGTCGGCATCTGCCTGACCGGGCTGCGTCTCCAACCCGCCCGGCCCGAGACCTCAGAAGGCCCGACCCTCCGTGGAGCCGCACGCAGACGCCCGTGTGCCCCTTGAAAGGGGGTCAAGTCTCGTGTGCCGCAGGGAACCCCCGGTGACGAGGATCGTCCAAGGTGACCCCACCTCCGAAGAGACTTCCTGCTCGGGAGAGAGGAGCATGTCGCGTATGACGTAGGAGTGGGGGACCTGACACGCTGCCTGGGACACGCCAGCTGGGGCCCCTCTTTCCACGTTTGGTAAGAGAAGAAAGCTGCTTCCCTTCTGCCGGAACCACGGCCACCACAGAGCGCACCTCCACGGAGCGGGAGGGCAGCCGTTTCATGCTCCCTGAAGCACCACCAAAGAAACAAAAAATGCACCCCACAAAAGCAAGATGCTTTTGCCACAAAAGCAAGATGTGAGTCGAGACCTGGGAGGGCAGTGGCCATCAGAGCAGTGTCCACCCAGCATCGCACAGGACACTGAGCGGCAGGCAGGCTCTGGAACTTACTACGCAAGTGAGGGCTGGCAGAGAGGGTCTGCTCCCCAGCCCTGACCCCACACACTGGACCGTGTGGCCAAACGCCCCAGGCCTCTCTCTGGCTGTGGGCTGAGGCCTGGGGGTGCTACATTTTGCTTTCAGTTCACAACCATTTTGACACTGGAAAATACTGACTTTGGGGGTCAGGGTGAGGCCTTGCATTTCAAGGCCCCAGTTACAGACAGGCATTGTCACTGATCAGTGCCGTACGTCAGGGAAGGGCATGACCGTTTCCTGGGCGTTCTTCCTGTGTTTGCACATTGAGATGAAGCTCACAGCCTGGCAAGATGCTCAGCCGCTTTGGACCCTTTTTGTCAATTAACTTATTTTTTTAATACTTGAAAAGAAACAACTTCATTTTTATATCTGTCCTAGAGACATTGATCACCTGGCACCTGGGCAGGAGTGACAGCAAGGCCTTTGCTGCCTCTGGCACAGCCTGGTCCAAAACTGACCGAATGACCAGATGTTTGTCAGGCGCGCCTATTTATTAGCCTTCCTCCTCGTGTTACTGGCCTGGCTGGTGTCACGGAGCAGCCCGGGACCCTCATGTGGTTCCTGCTCACAGCTTTCTGTCCCCTCCTGGAACCGTGTCTGGCCCTTCTCTGCCTGGTGCCACGCCCTCACTGGGGTGCTGGGCCGGCCAGAGAGCCGCCGCTTGCCGGACGCACTTCCAGCGCCATCTGGGGCCAAGCCAGAGGCAGAGCTGCCACCCTTGCCCCTCCCTGTTGGAACCCTGGCTCTGCATGACCCCCTTTTTCTCAGTGTCAGTGCCAGGGTTTTACCTCCCTTGGCACGTTTGTTAAAGTTTCAGGGTGAGGCCCCTTCCTGGCTGGCCAAGACACTACACGGTGGGACCTTGTCATTAGCGTGGCTGATGAGAATTCCCTCTGCCCACTGAAGACCCAGCCAGAGAGAAACACACTCGCTGCGGCAGGTGTCAGGATTTAGGCTGGTCTCTCCCAAGCAGTCTCCAGCCCTCCCTTCCCAGGGTATGGGAGCCTTCCCTGTGCCTGGACCTTCACGGGGCGGTAAGAGGTGACACTAGCTCTGGGGCCAAACTGTTCATTTCTCACAATTCAGGCTGCGTACAGTTCGTCAAGCCACTGACTGAGAAAATTGAAGGGATTGGGGTCTTCAAAATAGCGCAGAGCCTGGGAGGGACCCTCCAGTTCCAGGCAGCCTGGGAGGGGCTCCAGCCACCTCCTGGTGGGGAGGGCCATGTAGGGAGCAGGCCGGGCAGCCCCACGGGCATCCTGAGGGCAGGGCAGGCCGAGGGTCCATGCTGACCTTGGAGTTGCCATGGGGAACTACACTGTGCCTCAACTTGAGCGTTCATCCTAACTACAAAGCAAAGAACCTGTCGTCTTCTTCACTTGTTCCAAAAGCTGCCATCTCTCTCCTGTGGAAATCCAGGAGATGTGCTGCTAGCAGCCATCATGCTCTGACTTCTTCACTTCTTGTTTTCTGCTGAGGCAAAGTCTCCATTTTTATTCTCTTTTCTTAAAGGGCGCGGGGGTTGGGGGGAGCATGGTGTTCTAGATTTCATCTTCAAACCCCTATCTTCCAGTAAAATTGGACTTGGGACAGGACCTTCACTGTCCATGTGGCCTTTTCCCTGACCCCCTTCTCCTCTCAAATGCCACCATAACCAGCCAAGCCCCGGCAGAGCCGCCTCCATCCCGTGTCGCTCCTGCTGACCCCAGAACAAGGGAGCAGTTGGCACAGCGACTCACACGAGGAGCGACCCCAGAGATATGCTCTGAGTGGCCGGATGTAGCGAGAACACCACGTGCCACCCTCGCCGCCCAGTGCTGGCCAGCGTGAACACCACGGCACCCTCTCAAGCACACACTGCTGCCGGCAGCCACTAGACCGGGGACTGGACACTTTGCAAGAGGCTTCCAGAACCCGCCAGCCTGCACTGTGTTCCCCAGCTCCTAGTGGTGTTAGGACTTTAGATTCTAGGAGAGCACTTTTTTTAAAAGATCCCATTTTGTAACCACTAGTTTGCAGTTGATTTTCGTGCTCTGGTGACTTGCTGCATGAAGTGTTTTCCAACTCTGGAAATGCACACAGTTCCAGGCAGGTTTTCTTCCCGAAAATGAAGTCCTCCCTTGAAGGCAGGAAAGCAGGCTAGACATGCATATGCACACGCACATAGAATGCCAGAGCTCCTGCCGTGGAGGGTGCGAGCGAGCCCAGCACCGGGCCAAGTCCAGGGGAGACCCACAGCCAGCACCCCTGAGGGCACGGAAGGCAGCGGCCCTGTGTTTGGCGGTGCCAGCAACCCTCCTCAAGCCTGTTTCGACCAGCAAGGATAGACTATTCCTAACCCTTTCGAAGAGAGGAAACTTTTCAGTGGGACAGGAAGAAGAGATTTTTAAGTGGTAACATCTGACCCACAAAGGGGAATGGTCCATTTTATGCGCAATAAAAGTTTTGCAAAGAATACAGTGTTATTTCTGAAGTCATTTTCTTGTCCTAGGCGGTGAGCTGGGCTACACTTCCATGCAAGGCACCGTGTGTTTAGTATACTCGTGGGGGTGAACAGGGCTGTTTAAAGAATGCAGCTATTTTTTTGTTTTAGTTTGTGCTTTTTTTAGTCCTCCATATATTCCTGGCTCAGCCCTCAACTGCTGTCACTGGAGAAAATGTCTGAGGCAGCCCAGTTTGGGAAGAAGCTGCTCTTGAGACCAAGCCCCAGTAGCCTCTTTTTTTTTTTTTTTTTTTTGAGACAGGGTCTTGGTCTGTCACCTGGGCTAGAGCACAGTGGCATCAGCCTAGCCCACAGCAACCTCCAACTCCTGGGCTCAAGGGATCAGCCTCCTGAGTAGCTGGCACTACAGCATGCACCACCACACCCAGGCAATTTTCTATTTTTCATAGAGATGGGTTCTCGCTCTTGCTCCGGCTGATCTCCTGACCCCAAGTGATCTTCCTGCCTCGGCCTCCCAGAGTGCTGGCATTACAGGTGTGAGACACCGCGCCGAGCCCCAGTAGCCTCTTTGAAGTAGAGAGTCTCCAAGTCAGAATGACCTTGAGGTCCTGGTGACCTTCCTTCCAGGCTGGCCCAGGCTCTGTCCCACAACATGATTGACCAGCGAGCCTAGTGGCATGGGGTCTGCAGCCCCCAGGCCCAAGTTGTTCCTATGTTTCAGTGTCCCCAAGTTCATGGGGTCCTGCAGGGAGCTAGTGTCACTCTCCTGTAGTCTGGAATCATCCCCAAGAGAGTAAAGAGAACAGTCCTGGCCAGCTCTTCTGCCTTTGCTGCATGACACCTCCAAGGCCCATTCCGGCTCTCTCCTCTCTTGCCGTGGTGCTTGATCATAGGAGTATCACCGTCTTCGTGGTCACCCACAGCGCTCGTCCCGAAGGCATTGTGCCTCTCCGGAGAAGCAGCGGCAGCCTCAGGGAGGGAAAGACCAGCACCAGGCCGGGCGTGGTGGGCATTCGCCAGCTATTTGAGAAAGAAAAAAGGCCTGGCCAGGACGAATGTGGACATCGCAGGAAGAACAAGGGGGCAAAATTGAATGAATATACTGCGGCCCTAGCCTCCCGGATGGAAAGCTGGCTGCGGCCTTGTCTGCGGGAAGGGAAGTAGGGCTGGCAGTTGCCTGCGCCGGTCCTGCTCCTCAGCGGGCATGCATTTTCAGAGCTGTGCGCCAGGCAGGCTCTGGCCATAGTTCACAGAACTCCAGGTGGCAGGAAGTGACGGCTGTTACTTTAGGGAGACAATCAGAACAGCTGCCAGGCAGGCACACCTCAGGGCACACCAGGAACTCTCCCTCCCTCAGAGCCACCACGTCTGCTGGCTCCAAAGCCAGCCCCTCCTGACCCTGAGTCCTTTCGTAGTCCCTCCCTAGGCTTCAGAGTCAAAAGTGGTAAAGGGACAGAACGCACCTTTTTCTTTTGCTTTATGAGCTGGCAGGCAGGCCCACTTACGAGACTCCCTCCATTGTGTCACCTGCCCGTGATACTCAGGACAGCACGAAGCCATCCTCTTAGGTGGGCTACGACCCCTGAACACCAACCGGCCGGGGCCAGAGCCCCACCTCGGCACACAGCCAGGGCCTGGGGCTCCTAGACGCCCACGGCGCCTCTGACAGCCTGTCACTGCTTAGCGTCACCGGAAAGCATTGTGGCAGCTCCACTCCTTGTGTCCCCTGTCCTAAGGGCTTCCTGCAGCTGGGTCTCAGATGGGAAGTCACAGTCCCAGCTTCTGTGGCTCAGCCTCAGTTTCACTGCCTCTCCCTGAGAAGCTACCTGCTACCGAGAGGAATGCATCCTGTGATGGGCACACACCTCCTCTTCATGCCCACGTGGCCTTTCTGGACCAGAGTGGACATCCAGTTCTGAAGCAGGTTGGATTTCAGCCTTGGCACCACAGGTGGGCCATGGAGGTGGCCCAGGCCCCAGGACTAGGCAAGACCTGAGTTGAGGATCTGCCTGCATCAGTGGACACCTGGACCCTGGCGAGACTACACATAGTCTTGAATATTCCCAAAGCAGGTAGAGGTAGCACTCTCTGGACCCAGGGGAGGCGCCTTTGTAAGTGCTCAGGCGCTGTGTGAGGTGAGCAGGAGCTTGCTGGGTCTGTGCCACCCACGAGATGGAACACAGGGAGTCAGGTGAGTGCAAGGCAGAGTCCAGATGGGGCATGTGTTCCTGCCTGTTCCCCTGGTGTCAGCCTCGGGCACATCACTTTAACTGGCCAGTGCCTCAAGTTCCCTCCATCTAAGGTGGGGCTGGCCACCTGCAGTATGAGAGGAGGGACGGTGCCCCGCACGGTTGGAGCACAGCCCTTGGAATGGGGACGGTGTTTGCCCTGAAGAAGGGCAGTAAACTCCGACAAAAAAGCACCCAAAGGCAGCAGCCCCCCTTTTCTAGGTGCATCTTATTTAACATTAAAGAATGTTTTTAGGGCCGGGTTCAGTGGCTCATGCCTGTAATCCCAACACTTTGGGAGGCCAAGGTGGAGGAGAGCTTAAAGCCAGGAGTTTGAGAGCAGTTTGGGCAACATATAGCAAGACCACCTGTCTCTACAAAAAATGTTTAAAATTAGCTGGGCATGGTGGTGCACACCTGTAGTTGCAGCTATTCGGGAGGCTGAGGCAGGAAGATCTCTTGAGCGCAGGAGTTTGAGGTTGATGTGAGCTATGATTGTACCACTGTACTCTAGCCTGGGTGGCAGAGCGAGACCCTGTCTCAAAGAAAAAAAAAATTTTTTTTTAAAGCATCAAATCCCTTTTGAGAAATGTCACCAGAGCCAGATTCTCGCTCTGCACAAGCCTCACGTTGGGACTGAACACTTCTGGACCCAGTAGCTGATCTTTTGAGCCTCATCACATTACCCTTCACGTGAGCATTTTCATAGGAACACCTAGTGGGGATGGCAGGGCCGGGCCTGCGGCCACCAACCTCCTACACTGAACAGTCACAGCCACCAAGCACTCGATGCC